AGATATAAATAATTATGAGGACCAAAATGCAAATAAAAAAAGATGAAACCTCAAATTTGAGGTTTTGAGGTTGCCTTTGGAGAACCAAAAACCTTATATTTGAAGATTTGAGGTTGCCTTTGGAGATGCTCTTAGGGTTTAGTATTTGGTATAACATACGTATTTTTGCAAAAAAAAAAAATCATAAATACGTACATTTTTAAGTGTTAAAAAAAAGCAAAATCCGTAAACTATTTAAAAAATGACATTTTCGTAAGTTTTTCCAAAAAAATGGCATTTTAGACAATAATCCCGTGTTATAATGATGTAATGATACCGGACAGAAATCACATCATTCTTTATAAAACTTTGAATATCTAAAATATTTAGGTTGCCCACACAAATATTAAAATAGAATACCCGTTTAAAATAATACTGACAATGATGTTTCGAATATTTCTCACTTAGTCACACGTTTTCGTATTGACCAAAATTTTTTCACTCCATAGTGTGTAGAATGATGTTACAAATATTCAACCGATTACGGTGATCTCATTTTATCATTGACCTTACATCAAATAAAATACAGTGTTCACTACAAAAATTGTATAAGACGAAAACAAGAAAGAGAAGAAAACCCTTTAATAGACAAAATCAAAACTCTGTACTAATTCTTGAAGAGTTAAAATAAAATCATAATTTTAAATAATATTCTACACGATAAAGAATGAATATTCTGGTGGTATGAGCTGTGAGCAGAAACATCTACGAAGTTGTGTGAGCGAAAAACTCAATGTATATATTTTTGTAAATAATAAAATGCAAAGCAATTTGAAATTTATGGAATTTCATTGGAAATATATAAAAATAATCAAGAAGAAAATGTCTAAATTTTTGCAAGTAATGCTGAAATTTCCTTTGAAATTTCGTGTATGTTTAAGAAAGTAAAGAGGTTTATTTCATAACCTTTCTATATAAAGGACACTACTCTTGCATCTTTTTGGTATCAGTTCAGTTTCACAAAAAAAAAAAAAAAAAGGTATAATGGAGCCTGTTGTTAATGTCATCATTATATTAGGTGCCTGTGGTATTTTCGTGTTGACTGTCATATGTTGTGTCTCCCATAGGAAGAAAGAGCCTTTGTCTCAGCCGCGGGATTTGGAAAAAGGTTTAGCGGGAATAAAAGATGGAGGACTTGTTGTTTTGACCGGAACAGCTGTTGTAGGTGCGGCTGTAACCACAGCACGTTCTGGCGGTTGCGGCGGTGGAGGAGATGGTGGCGGTTGTGAAGGTGATGCTGGTGGAGGAGATGGTGCTGGAGGAGATGGTGGCGGTTGTGGAGGTTGTGGCGGCTGTGGAGGTTAAGGGTTTCGTATAGTTTGTGGGTGTGAATTATCTCGTGATTAACTTTGCATATAATGTTAGATTTAAACTCTTGTGAGGTTGGAAATTGTATCATAAGGTCAAGAAATGATCGTGTAAATATGAATTGTTTGTTTACAAAATATTAGTTTTCTTAGAAACTTTCTTTTATTTTTATATATAATAATTTGGATAAAAAAACCATGCATGGACACCAACGATATGAATATAAACAATGACAGTTGGAGTTTTGTCAATACTCTTTTCGTTTCAAATTAATTATCGTTTTAGAAATTAAATTTTGTTCTAAATTAGTTATAGTTTTATATTTTATCAAAAGCTGATTTTTGACGAAATTTCCTTTCTATCCATAGGTCATGTTCGGTTCATAATCGCCAGTAACTGCGACTGCAATTTTAAAATCGCGGGATGTTGTTCGTTTGGCAATCGCGTGACTGATCGCTGCGACTAATCGCCATTTAAATTTTTGCTAGTAAAATTGAAATTTCCTTTGCAATTTCGTGTATCTTAAAAAACTAAATAGGTTAATGCCTTAACCTTCTATATAAAAGGAAACTATTCTCCCATCTTTTTGGTACAAGTTCACTTTCACAAAAATATTTAAAGATATAGAGAAGACTCTGTTTGCTTTTTAATGTCTTAAAAATGATTCGAATTGTATCGCATTAAGTTGTAGAAAACGTTTATTTTTCTTTTGAATATAATTTAACATTAAATTCAAAAAAAAATAATGGAGCCTGTTGTTAATGTCATTATTGCAGTATCTGTCTGTGTTATTTTCGCATTGATTGTCATAGGCTGTGTCTCCCATAGGAAGAAAGAGCCTTTGTCTCAGCCGCGAGATTTGGAAACGGGTGTAACGGGAACAAAAGATGGAGGACTTGTTGTTTTGACAGTAAATGACGCCACAACAGCTGTTGTAGCTGCAGCTGTAACCACCGATGATTACAACGGTTGTTGTTGCGGAGGCGGTGGTGATGGTGGAGGAGATGGCGGCGGTTGTGGAGGTTGCGGCGGCTGTGGAGGTTAAGGGTTCCGTATATTGTTGGATTTGATAATTATCTATGCATATAATGTAAAATTATTTATACTTTCGTGAGGATGGAAATTGTATCATAAGGTGAATAAATGATCGTGTGAATATGAAATGCTGGTTTACAAAATCTTAATATTCTTATAAACTTTCATTTTGTTATAAACCACATGTTGGATGGACTCCATAACCGTGGACCTTATGCATATTCTAGAAGGCCCATGTCCATGTCCTAGAAGGCCCATGCCCATGTTCTTGAAGATTCTCCTTATGACGGCCTATATTGTACTTAGTGGGCTTTTGGGCTTAAGGGTTTACTAGCCCAATGGGGATTTGTCTCCCCTCATCATGTATATATATGTATCGAAATCTCATTCATTAATCAATAGAACAACACAGTTTACAACACATTTCTCTTTATATAATAAGTTGGATGATATCCAAGTATGCTTGGACACAAACGGTGATGCATGGTTGGAGTATATTTTTTAATATTTGCAAAAACTATATCATGATTTTCTATAAGTAAATGATTAAAATCTAGTGAGAGTTTTTTTTCTTTCTTTTACAATAATTTATTAATGTTTAACTAAGAGTAAACTAAAAATGAAAATTTTAACTCTTTTTCTCTTATTGAAAGTCATTTTTCTTATTGGTGTGAAAAGATTAGTAACAACTTTTGAGATAATTTATTTGGTTTGAAATTTCTGAAAATCTAAGCTGGTCAAGCTTTAATCCATTACTCAGCTATGTAAATTCTGAGATATGCTTTAAATTTAAACAAGAATTCAAATCTAATGGATATTCAACCTAAATATTGTTCGAGGATGAAGGAATTGTGTGTGTGGTTGTGTAGATATTCAAAAACAAGAATTTGAGGATGAAGAAATTATTATTACAATCCTTTCAAGATAAGCTAAACAACATACACTTATGAGATGTATTATAGAATATGGACTGTTGGTTACAATATAATATGTGCAACTTTGGATGTCTCCATGAGTCCATGTACTTAAAATTGAAATACAAATAAGTCAAACAACAATCTATATTATTAATTGGGAAGCATTGGATAATAAATAATCTTATAAAGGGTAAAGAATTACAAAAAATGCCATTGGTTTTTAGTGTTTTTAAATAACTTCATTAAGAGTACAATAGTAATCACAAAATTAATATATTTAAATAAAAAATAGTTTAATTCTTTTAAATACTTATTAATTTCCAAAAAAATAAACTAATTTTCTCTCCCTTATTAATTATAAACGAAAATTTGAAATTATTTTTTTAAAAATTGTTAACCAATAGGAATTGAAAAACTAAGATTTGATATCTAACTAAGATTTTTTCTAAACCAATCCTAATAGACTATTCTATATCAAAAATACAAATAAAAATAATATCATTTTAATTCAAAATTAAAAATAACTATCATTTAAAAAGATTTATCAATGGAGGATTTTAAGATTGAATTTGAAATTTGGTAAAAAAATTAAATGCAAATATTTTAATATTCAGTTTTGTTATAATATTTTTATTACAAATTTTGAAATATAAAACGAAATTTTATTTCATAATTTCTAAAAAACCATATTAAATATTAACAAATATTTATTTTTACTATGAAATAAACTCAAATAATAATAAATTTTAAGTAATTGTCATAATGGTTTTCGTTTAGAGCAATTTTCGAAAAAATCTAAACAATAGAATGTACATATTAATTTTGAAATATTTTGTGTTTTATTTTTTTCTTTTCAACTCAGATCTTCCTTAAATAATAACTAGATGCAAATATTATTTAAGGAAGATTTTAAGATTGAATTTAAAATTTGGTAAAAAATTAAATGCAAATATTTTAATATTCAGTTTTGTTATAATATTTTTATTACAAATTTTGAAATATAAAACGAAATTTTATTTCATAATTTCTAAAAAACCATATTAAATATTAACAAATATTTATTTTTACTATGAAATAAACTCAAATAATAATAAATTTTAAGTAATTATCATAATGGTTTTCGTTTAGAGCAATTTTTGAAAAAATCTAAACAATAGAATGTACATATTAATTTTGAAATATTTTGTGTCTTATTTTTTTCTTTTCAACTCAGATCTTCCTTAAATAAATCCATAATATATTGCACACAGTTTTTGAAATTATGTAAACTAATTATATATTTTGCATTCAACACAAATTATGCAGCAATAGCATATCCCTTTTATAGATGTATCTAAAACTTTTATTTTTAGTCCAAATATTGAACTAATTATGATTAAACAATGAAAAGAAGAATATGCAAAATTTAGCTAAGGAAAGAAACATTAATAAATTTGTTAAAATATTTGTAACTTTAACATCATATATATTAATCCGCAAAACTCACAGTATGTATTTTATGGTATTTTAAAGTAAGCAAACAAGAATTTGGAACATGGTTTTAATGGAATGAAATGAGAATAAGAATTACGAGACGGGATGGCAGGGGAACATAAATTAAAAATCAATCTTAATACTCAACTGGTATGAGTTTGTGTTATGAGCACTATATAAAATAAATTTGTTTACACACATAACCTTATACGTACGTTTTTAGTTACAATTTATGACAGATACGGGACCGTAATATTTTTATTTCACGTATACGAGACGGGTTATGGGACGAAAAATTTATGACATATACAAGACGGGATAGGTTTCTTGTTCCAAAATAGTTACGCCTAGCTAATATACATGAAATAATCCAAACTAAACCGAATATGTATCCTATTTAACACATGTAATCAAACAGTTAGAAATGTTTTGAATAGTTTAGAAAATAAAAACGTAACATCACTTAACTTTTGCAACTAAATAATATCTTAATTTTATATTAAATACAATTTCACACGTACGTGTAGGTCCGAATCTTAAAATATAACTATGCACTAACGCAACTAAATTTCGTTCATTACTCTAACTTTATAATATCTATATTATTACAAAGTTCACTAACACAACAAAATATTTTATATTTTTAAAATCTATATAACAATTTCTAAAAAAAATATCTCTGCACGTACATGTGGATCTAGATCTAATACACTAAAATATACATCATAAAAACAATAAAATAATCTATATTGTATGAAAATTTGTAAGAAATGTTTTTGAAATATGAAACCCCGCACGTACGTGCGGGTCAGGATCTAGTTTAGTATAATTTAACACAAGTAGCATCTGTTTATCTACATCTATATCTATACATACATCTTGATGTTTTCCTGTATGAGAATCAAATCATAATTAGTAGGAACTAATTAAAAGAAAGAGAGAAGACTATTAGATTGATCAACGATGGGGAAATTGATTATGCTTATATTCTTTGTGGCAGTTTTCTTAAATCTTAATCATTTGGCTAATTCACTTTCTCTACAACAAAACTAAGAAAGATGGTGGCAAGATAAGAACCAGTTGTCTCCCCTTCGGCTATGACGACGGCGTCTGATGTCACCAACAACAACCTTTGTGTGTCTTTATTGAATGCTCATTAAACTCTACTCTCTTTGTGGAAACCATATTATCCTGATTCTTATTTGTATGTAATCTATGTAAAATTTGAAAATATTTAATGAAACTATATATCATTATCTCAAAAATATTACAGAACTATTTTAGCAAATGATCATGATTTCAAAAAAATAAGAATCCCATAAACATTCTCTGTCTGAAGGTCAAACTCGCTCTAAGGACAGATTGAGTTCGAAGGAATGATTTTCTCCCATGTTTACCCAACACGTCATACATACGAAAAATCTACTCGGAATGTCTATTTAACAAGAAAAGTTGCGAGAGAGTCATTACAAGAAGACAGTTACTAACTTACTATATTGCTTTAATACCAAACGCAATCTAGTTGATGTTAGAGAATTAATAAAACTTCATGTAACTATTGGTGATGGTAATTGACCATATAATAACATTTCAAAGAAATTGTAACTCTTCCAAATGATACCCTTAGTTGGAGTGCGTATTAAACTATATCAACTAAGGTTATAATAAACTGGACTTTGACCAAAAAAAAAAAATGGACTTATTGTACCGGTTGATTGAATCAACATGATTGTGATCCAGGTATGAATTGGTCACATGATTACTGTCTATATATGTTTTTTCGAAAACATATTAATATCTCTACGAAAACATATAAAATAAAATAAACAAACAATAAATCACATTGAAACAAATACTTGATCAAATCAGTAAAAACTTTTTATGAAACTATGTTTGTACCTATTAACAAGAAACATATAGGTTCATGATTCATGAATAATCAGAGGTCTGACCAAATATAATTTTCGGTTTAATAACCTTTTTTCTTAAAAAATTGTCTAAGTTGCATCTCCATTTGGGGTTGAATAAAAGCCAAAGGTAACGACTACACTAATATCCGAATATACCGTTTGAAATTCAAATACAACCTAACACAAAAGTCAATGGTTAACAAAATGATGACTTTTAAATATGAAGCCAAAAAGATTTTTATAAAGGGTCATCATCTCTATATATATGTACATCTTGTTGTTTCCTTATCTGAGGAGTGAAAAACAAAATTCACAGATAAGAAGAAATTAACATAAAAAAAGTTAATCAAATGAGTCCTGTGGCGATTCTGTTCATAGTGTTTGGGGCATTTCTCTTGTTTTTGTTCATCTTATGGCTCATTCACTTTCTCTACCACAAAGCTAAGAAGGATGGCAAGGAAAGCATCGCCTGTCTCGGCAGCGGTTACGGTGGCGATTTCGGCGGCTGACTTTAATCTTACCGTGCGTGGTAACTTGTGATTTCAATACTTTTGCTGGGATATGTATATATATTTATCCATACAAGTTCTTTGTTGAATTGTATTTGTTCTGAAGTATCATAGATTGTTTATGAGTTCGTACTTCTGCAAAATCGTCTATACATGTGCTTGTGTACTACACTACAATATGTAGAAGTTAAGGTTGTTTCCACAGAAAATTTAACCGGGAAAATTGATTGAAATTCTCTTATTACTAGTTAACACTTAAATGTTTACTTCTGAATATCCATTTTTTTTATGAGTTCGATATATCACAAATTATTAATGGATTATCTGAAGTTATGGATCTACCATTGTTTAACAATCTGCTCATAGCAGTTTTTATAAGATTTGATGACCGTATATATAATCCCATATTTTGTTTTCACATGTTATTTTCAATAGATAACCGATAACTTATAAATAAACACATGCACTTTAGAGCAATATAGATACGTAGTGAAAATATTGAATAAATATTATATTTTAAAAACCAATTCCATCCATGTGAAGTTTGCAAACCATTAAAATTCCCTTAACCATTACAACTGTATACCACTAATTAGGAAATTATTTTTGTTAATTAGTTTACTTCATGCTCTTATATATGATTGATATATTGTCAAACCATTAAAATATTCTAAAATTGCTGGATATTTTTTAACAAGAAATTTACAAGCCAAAGACTTAGACAAGTTGATAGAATGGTTAAATCACAATTCTCAACTAGTTTAGTGGCACATTTTGTCAAACCTAAATTCCCTCAATTATTATCATTTTTTTGTCAACTCCCTTAATTATTATCACAATTAAAAATAAAAGTCATCGAAACAACTTCCAAATACAAAGTCTCAAAAATACAACCTCCAAAAAAACTTATTGTATATAATATGAACACATATCTATAAAGAGCAAGAGACAGAGAGATTATTATTTCTCTATAAGAATCAAAATCTTAATATAGAACTCAAGTAAAACAAAATCTGATGACTCCTTTGAAGATTATGGACATAGTGATTGCGGTGATATTCTTGATAATATTCATCTTATGTCTTTTCTACTTTCGTTACCAAAAGAGTCAGAACGACGGCCGGAAAGAGAGCACTACCGGTGGTTGTTGCTGAAGCGTCTAGGCGGCTGCCACCGCACGACTTGTCACTTTAACCGTTTCGTTTAAAGATATATGATTTATATGTATTTGCTTTTGAAATATGAAAGATGTTATAATTTGGGTTTGTGTGTGCAAGTTGTAGAGATGAAACAAACATATACATGAATTTTTTATTTTACATCGTATTTTAATATGGATTTGTAATTAAATTAAAGACACACACATATATATATATATATATATATATATATTGCAAATTATTAAATTATATAGAAATTTTGTACAATTTTAAGAAAATATATAACTTTTAATCTTAAAACATATATAGAGTGCTAGCTGATATCTAACTTTGAAAACTAATAATTTGTAAATACTCACGTATTTCATTAATTGTTTAATTTTTCTTTGTTCAAAAACATGTACTTAAGCGGATTTGAACACGAAGTACATAATGATCCCTAATATAAACTAACACGCTACATGCATGTTACAATTTATTTGAGTACGTATAATGCTTTTGAAAGCTAAATATATAAGCTGTGTAACTTCTTAAATTATTTTCAAGTTATCATGATTATTCTAATTTCCAAATGGTATAAAATAATATAAAATTAAATATCAGTACTTATAAAAATGGTTGGATCAGCTTCAGCATTATCTTTACCTTTCACTTGATATACTGTATAACTATTTAGATAATATTCAGTCCAACAAAATCGAATGAGAAAAGAAAAAGAGATTAAATCCAATAGAAAATAGAAAAATAATAAATAAAGAAAAAAATCTACCCAAACTATAGCAGCATCATCTAACTAGAAATCGTTAGAGCATCTCCATCGACGGATCCAAATGGGTGTCTAAAAGACAAAAAGTCCAAAAAATAAATCAAAACTAAGTAAAATCAATAGATCCGGTTACAATTTTGGACATTAGATCAGATTTAGACTCGCATACGTGTCAATTATTGGTTAGTCTCTGTTGGTAGTTCTTAGCGATGATTGAAGACGAAATTAGGCATTGTTGCTTGATTTCGATAAGTAATTGCTTCAGTCTCTCTCTGAATATTGTTTAGATTCGAAAACTGCAATCTCTAATTCTTGCTTGTTCTCTGTTGCAGGTTGAGGTTTTTGGGTCATACATGACAGGGCTTTATCTTCCAACTAGTGATATAGATGTAAGGGTTAAACAACACTTTTGTTTCATGTATTAATCTTTTTATGTTTATGAAGAGATCTTCCCTCATAATCATCTCTCTTCTGTGTCTCTCTGGTTTAAGAAACCCCTACTTAAACACATATCATATTAGTCTTCTGTGTCTTTTTCTTTTCTTTGATCCGTTAGGCCATCATCTAAATGAGTCTCAATATCATCAAAGAACAAAGGCAACTGAGTTTAGCTAGTATTAAGGTAATTCTTCTTCCTTATATGGTTAAGATCGACTGTCTACTTAGCTTTTGGTTGAGACATTTAAGTTTCTTGAATGGTTAAGATTGCTTGGTTAAGACTGAATTGAGTGGGTTTTTATTAGGTAAAGATATGTGATAAATACTTGTTAGTTGTGATAAATGCTTGTTTGTTGTTTAGTAAACTGTCTACATCATGTTGACGCTTTGTGTGTGATCAATGCTAGTTAGGTTAAGACTAATCAATGCTTGTGTAAGACTGAAGTGATAAATGCTCGTTAGCTGTGATCAATGTTTGTTAGCTGTGTGATTAACTTCCTCCGCCGCCACCACATCCTCCTCCTCCACAGCCACCACCACCATCACCACCACCACCACCATGATGTCCACCACCACCACAACCACCACCGCCATGATGTCCGCCGTGATGGCCACCGGCATGATGGTGGCGGTGATTGTAGGAGAGAGTAGGGAGAGACGCAGCAGCTGGATAAAACATGTAGCCACCATTGCTTGTTCTTACCGCTCTGGTTCTCTGGTTGTTAGGCTTTTGTGCAGACCCTCCATAATTAGTGACAGTCTCCTTCTTCCCCGACTCCAAAATACACACCAATATTCCCATCAAAACAAAGAACCCACCAAAGGCTATGAGAATAATAAAATGAGTTTCCATGATCTCTCCCTCTCTCTCTCTCTCTCTCTCTCTCTCTCTCTGGAATAGAAAACAAGAATCGTATAAACTTTCAAATAATCACGTTTTCTTCTAACCAACGCAACCGTATTTATACTCATTATCTTATCTATTATCTGTTTTCTGGTCAGAAATTATTATTTATTTTCTATTTGGATTAGCATAAGGACTTTGGGCTAACGGTGTAGTTAAGGGATGTCATTGGTAAATTTGGTGCAATACTGTGATTGCCCTAATTTATACTACTTAACTAAGACTAATGTTACCGGTAGTGATTTATTAAAATAAAAAAAAAAATAACGTTGAGATTGAATTTTGTTGATTAATTATTGATTTTTCAATTTCGAGTTATCCTCTTTGTAAAATTACTAGAATTTAACCCGCGGTACACCGCGGGGCTATATTTTAAGAAAAATATAATGTTATTTTTAAAGTTTAACTGAAGATATATCATATTAATTTGCATTTTTAAATATAGATATCTATCTATGTATTATTTAGTGTATGATTACTATTGTTTTGGTTTCAACTTTTAAAGTATAGATACGAAAACATACATTTTTTAAGTAACGATGGTATGGTGGATTTTAAAATTTTGAATATTTGACTCCGAAGTATACCGTGGGTCGGTTTTTTATAACTAAATTTTTTCAGTTGTATTTGTTTTGTTAATATTGTTTCTTTTATTTTGTGTTTAAGATTGTATAATTTTATTTTGATTGCTAATTTTAGGATTTCATCCGTGATATACCGTTATTTATTAATATCGACCCAAACACGTCATTCCATATAAACCCGTCTATATTATCCGTTAGCTAAATTATTAGTGTTATAAAATCCAATAAAATAAATTATTATTGTAATAAAATCCAATAATTTTAGGATCTCACCCGTGGTATACCGTTTTTTGAATGATTTTAAATTTATACTACTAATATGTATTTTAAATTTATCATATAAAATATACGATTTCAGGTTTTTGTGTATTTATTTTATTTAAATAAAACAACGGCTTAAATGATGACATATATAGTTTTTTTCTTGTATGTGTATATGATTTTTCTATGTGAATATTTTGATTATTATAAATTAGTATTTTTATTACTATGCAAAATGTTAATATAAATATTTGCTATAATTATTTTTTGAAGATATATGGAAAGATTGTGTAGAGATTTTTAGAAACAAATTAGGCAAGATATTGTTTGGTTAATATCTTTTATTTAAATTTTGTAAAAGTAAATAATAAATGCCAATGACATTCTTTGTAAATTAGACCGAACTTAAAATCAATCAGAACACATGAGAAAACTTACTGGTAAGTTGTGTTAAGTTGATAATATTAAGAAATATAGCTATATTGAAAAAGAAATAATCCAATAGAAACAATAATTAAAAATATACCCAAATTATAACAGGCATCATCAGCTATGTGGATTTGATGATGAAAGTATTTTGCCAATGTGCTCTTTTAATCGATGATCCATTGCTCCAAGGAAATGGTTTTGATTGAAAGTCAGTCTACACTTAATTAAGTTAATTTTGTTCCAGATTAATGATTAATGATTGTCGCCGTGATGGCCGGAGTCGGAGAAAGTAGGGAGAGACGCAGCCGCTGGATATACAATGTAGCCACCACCATCATTGCTTGTTACATCTCTGCTAATATGGTTGTTGGGCTTCTGCGCAGGCCCATTAGTGACTGCATCGCGGTTACCTCCATCGTTACATTTATCGATGAGCCATAAGATTAAGATTACAAATAAAATGAGAACCACTGCACCCGCGGTAAGTACGACCACCGCCATCAAGTAAACTGGATTGTCAGTTTCAACATTATCTTTACTTTTGTACTAGATATGTATCAAACTATATATTCAGATAATGTTCTGTTTAACAGAGTCGAATGAGAAAATAAAAAGAGATTAGATCCACTAAAAGTAAAAGAAAAAAGCCGAAAAAAAATGATTTTAGTCAAATAAAATAAAAATCTACCCAAATTATAGCAACACCATCTCTAACTAGAAATCGTTATACATAACTATCTCCGCCACCGCCACCACATCCTCCACCGCGATCACCATGATGTCCACAACCACCACGGCCATGATGGCCACTTTGATGGCCGGAATTGGAGACAGTAGGGAGAGACGCAGCCGCTGGATAAATCATAAAGTCACCACCATTGCTTGTTACAGCTCTGCTTCTCTGGTTGTTGGGCTTTTCAGCAGGCCCATTAGTGACAGTATCCTCCTCCTTCCCCGAACAAGCACATAATAAGTTTATACCATTACCAGTCAAAACAGTGAAAAACGTAGACAATAACATAAGTTTCCATGATCTCTCTCTGTCTCTGCAATAAGAAACCAGAATCGTACTAACTTCAAAGATTCACGTTTTCTTTTCTTAACCAATACAACCGTATTTAAGGAGTTTGGGCAAGAAACATTAGTCAAGTAATTAACAAACAGTTATCTAGAAAAAAAAACAAAAACAAAAACTAAATAAAAACTCCAAGAAGTATATAATATAATAAATAATTAAGAAGTAAAAAACAATTCGTAATTAATGTAATCAAATCAACCCGAAGAGGAAAAAACTCATACCTCAATAGCAGAGATGGATAGAAACTGGCCTCTACACCACTTTACTGTGAACAATATATAGACAAACCCATCAATTATTGGATGCATCAATTATGTGTGAAATATGCCAAATTTAAATCGGAAACATAAAACTGATCCATTGAAGGAGGATTCAGGAGCTCACAGTTCATCTTTGGTTAGTGCTAGGAGGACAAACTTGAGAGACATTCTGTTTTACAAGGTGACCAAGTGAGCTTCTTGCTCTCGGTTGATGAAGTGAAAACCATGTCCTTGCATGTTGCTTCACTGTAAACTGTTTCCATGGCTGACACTAATCAATTCCATTTCATTTCCAATCATATCCAGTGTGAAAGCTATCTCTTCAAGATTCAGATGAGATTCATCTCCTGCAAGGAAATTATGCACTTGACCCTTTAAGATTATCCAGCTAGACCCGGGATCCTTCTTTATTCTTTTCGATTTCTTGATATTCATTATTCGATCACAATCACTGTTTTTCCCAACCATTGAATATAGCTGGGATAATACCACGTAAGGTGTTGCGCTATCAGGCTCAAGTTCGATTAGTTTCTTAGCAGCAAGCTCTGCTAGATCGACACGTAAATGAGTTTTGCTTGCACTAAGCAAGCTGCCCCAAACTCCAGAATGAGGCTCACAAGGCATTGTAGAGATCAAGTTATATGCTTCATCAAGTAATCCACTTCTGCCAAAAAGATCAACCATGCATGCATAATGATCAGGTCCTGGTTCAATGCCGTACGAGAACTTCATAGATTTGAAGTATTTCCATCCTAAGTCCACGTATCCAACATGAACACAGGCTGATAACAGAGCAAGAAAGGTAACACCATTCGGCTCTTTTCCTGTACTTTCCAACATGGAGAACAATTTAACAGCTTCCTTCCCGAAGCCGTTATAGGAAAACCCGCTGATCATCGTGTTATAAGAAACAATATTGGGCTCACTGATGCATGAGAAGATCTTGTAAGCATCATTTGTGTTCCCGCATTTGCAATACATAGATACCAATGAATTCTGAACTGACAAGTCATTCGCCATGTTCATCTTCACAACTCTACCGTGGATCTGTAGTCCTTCAATTAAATCCGCCAAACTAGCTGTTGCGCTGAGGACACTACTGAAAGTGTAGGAATTTGGACAAACCTGTTTCCGAAGCATCTTATGAAACCAGCAAAGCGCCTCCTCATAATATCCATTACTCACAAAAGCAGATATCATAGCAGTCCATGTTATGTCGTCCTTCTCAGGCATCATTCCAAACAACTCCACACATTTAGAGATTTCTCCTTTTCCAGAAAACCCCTTGATCATATCTGTCCAGGATACCATATCTTTACCCGGCATCTTCTCGAAAAGTTCATAAGCTTCAGAAATCTGTTCGCGCTGAACAAGACCAGTGATCAAGGAATTCCAAGAAACACTGTCTTTATATTTCATCACGCCAAACACCGCTTTGGCCTCTCCCATATAACCAAGCTTAGAGTACATCGAAATCAATGAATTCCCTAGAAACAGATCAAACTCCAGAGGCATTCGTGAAAGTAACCCATGAATCTGACTTCCCTCTCGGTATCTGAAAAAATCCCGACATGCTCTAAACATTACAGCCAAAGTATTAGAATTTACCCTGACATCTCCCTCCTGTCTCATTCTCAGAAACAGACCAAACCCATCTTCAAAAAACCCAGCTTTAAAATACCCATCAATCATAGCAGTCCAAGTAATCACATTTCTCTCAGGCATTCTATCAAAAAGACTTCTCGCATCCAAAATTCTCCCCATTTTGCAGTACCCATCAACCATTGAGCTATACGATACTACTTCTTTCACAGCCATACCCTCAAAAACACGAACAGCCTCGTTCCATTTCCCTACTCTCAAATACCCACTTAACAAAACATTTGAAGCAACAGGATCACGAAACTTCACAGGTGTCTCAGCATACAAACATTCCGCCTCGTCAAACCTCCCTGCCCGAACGAAACCAGTAATCATCGTCGCATAAGAAACCGCGTTCTTCTCCGGTATATCACAAAACAATTCATAAGCTTTCCCTAAATCACACTTGTTTTTAATCATAGCAGTAATCATCGCATTATAAGAAGTTGTAGCTCTCACAGGCATTTCATCGAACACTTGCCATGCTTTACTCATTTTCCCATTCTCCGCGTAAGCAGAAATCATCGCATTCCAAGAGACTATACTTCTATGCGACATTTGTCTAAATATAGCTTCAGCCTCTTGGAGATTCCCATTTCTCGCGAGCTTCGAAATCTGAGAATTGCATTGAAAGATAGCTGTGCTCGTCGTCGTCGTCTCCAGAAAGCTTCGTGTTTTCTGGGTAATGGGCTCGTGGTTAGAGACAGCAAGCGTAGAATTACATCTCAGACAAAGATTGTGTCTGTAAATTAATCCTTTGTTCGTAATCGGCCTCATCACCATTGACTAGCGATTCCAAAGAGAAAGAAAAAAAAGCCGGGAAAACATTTAGGGTTTTAAATTTTATATATGAATTTGTTTATTTAGTTCACATTATTATCTAGGTACAACTATGTACGTTTGTTCAACTTGGTATTTTTATTAATTATGTACAACTGCATCATATTTGTTAAACTAGGTAAAACTATGTACGTTTGTTCAACTTGGTATTTTTAATAACTATGTACAACTGCATCATTTTTGTTAAACTAGGTACAACTATGCAGCTATTTAGGTTTTATTTTTACAACATTACCAAAATTTAAATATAAATAGATAAGAATTAGAAGACAATGACTAGAAGAAATATGTTTAATCGGACTTACAATACTAGAATTCGCCAAATACATATTTTTGAGACAAGTCCAAAAGAACTACAATTAATTGACAAAATAATTTTGCCACATCAGCCATAGGCCCATTAGTTGTTTTGCAAAAGTGATCACAAACACATTGTTTGCACAGCCCAGCTTAACCATTTCGTGCGGTATAAATGGTAAAACAGACTCTTTGACTTGTAACGATATTTCTCGTGCTTTAGATTACTCTGTTTTTCAAACATTTTACTTAACATAAGATTTTTATAAACAAAAAGTTAATAATATGTGAATGATGCGAGAACATTTCTCGTGCTTAAGATGATTATGTATACCATTTTCCATCCTATAATGGTCAAATAGTTTTTAAACATTAATCTATTATGTTTCCTTTCCTAAAAGCATATATAGTTCAAATAGAGAAATAATCAAACTAAAGACTGAGGCAACTTGGCAAGACAAGTGTATGTAATGGGTTTGGTCAATTACACGTCGCTCAACTAGCATAATTGACACATTCCTTTAAAACTTATAATAAAAATTAAATAAAGGTAAAATAAAAAAGCAAATAAAATCAAAGTCAATGAAACAACTTGTATTAGTGTGTATATATATAAGTGGAAATTGCAAATACAAAGTCAGAAAACAGCTAACCTCCAAAAACATTTTTCCTTCTATATCGATGGATCGAAAAATTATAGATTCAGTAATCTACTTAGCGTTACTTGGCTTTCTTCTTCTCAAGTATCATTATTTGTTTAAAACCAAAAAAATATCATTAGCTGTTGTCTCTTAGGTATTCGTCAAGCCTTGTTTGAGATGAATAGTCGCGAAGACAACACCACCGGCGGCTGTTGATGCGGGGGCTAACACCGTGGCTTAACCATCGTAATTGTGTCTTGCTTCTCGATCTTTTTTAAATCCGTAGTTATTCGTTCCAATATTTAGTGTGAATATGAATGTTAATGTTAAGTTTTTGCGTGCGAGAGATAATGTATAAATATTTTTACGTAAATCAATATATGTTTTCATGTTTTTCTTTAACCTGTAAAATGCAATAATGTCAAGTTTTTTTGCAAGCATTAAAACATGGACATGCAAGGTTTCGGAGCCAACTCTGACTTTGTTTCTTCAAACCCATCTATGAAAAAAAAGCCGTTGTTGTAAAAGATCAGAAAAAGGAAGAAAAAAAAACACTACAAAAAAAGTCCACATTGATAGCATACCGTAATAGCACGGTTTACCAAACTGCTGTTGAAGATGTTATGTAATTATGGTTGTTATATGATAGCATTTCATAAACGCTGTGATTAATTGAGAGGAAAAAAAAAACATTAACACCGTGGTAAAAGATCAGAAAAGGAAGAAAAAAAAATCAAGAAAAAAAAAATTAGGGTTTATACATGCTCAAGAACCTCCATTTGATTCGCAAGTTTCAAATTTAGTAAACATATACATGAACGTGAATGTGTATAAGATATACGTTTTTAGTTTGAAGATGATTCCTTTTCTTCCCCTTCTTGGATATTTTTAAGCGTCTCTCCTTTCTCATCTTCAGTTCTGATGTTCATGGCGGTGTGGATATCTCTAGTTTCTGACTCTGCTGCTTCCTCTAGTTTCTCATCTTTAGCTTCAACATCTGTCGAATTCTCTGCCATATCACCACTTGAATCTTCCTTAGCATTAGCTAATGTTGTTGAATCTACATGATCTTCATCTCCTGTTCTACCAATATTCCCATCGCGTGTAAGTTTTCCTGTATCTGTTGCCAGGTTCTTTACACAGGTAAAGGAATCATCATCATCAGAAGATTCAGAATCAGATCCAGAATCAGATTCAGGAACAATTTCTTTTTGCCCATCTCTTGGTTTCATGGATCCTTTACGCGAAAACGCATGCTTAAATTGTTTTGCAGATTTCTCAGCTTGTTTTAGAAAGCTCTTTGCCACATCCTTCATATGGCCTTTACCTGAATGTTCCTCTGCATCCAAACTCTCACAATCTAAACTCTTGCCTGAAAGTGGACCCGAGAGATTGTCATCAACGATGAAGTTAAGTCCAACATCCTTTTGGTTTACTGCCTTCAGATTGATCCGAGGAGACTGAGACTGCTCTTCTTCAATGCTTCCTATTAAAAATTCTTCCTTTTTGCCATGCCTGTGAAACACTGACCCGATTTTTCTCAATCCTCTACCAACCGACTTCATTGGATTCTTTGATCCCTCTTGATTGTCGTCGGTGCTGCTGCTTCCACTGTTGAGTGATCCATCATTAGGGTTTCTTTGTATTTGGCTATCAAGACGTCTACTCTTACCTTTTCTTGGTTCCCAAATCTGTGATACTTCTGCTCCCGGTTTTTGAACCCAAATTCCAGTCTCTTCTTGCCCGTCAATGGTTATTGGCTCAAAGTTATCCACAACACTTGGAGCTTTGTCCGACGAGAAAGAGCCTAAATTTGTAGTATCAGAAGCAAAAGAAGTCTGTATGTCTTCCTCGATTACAGTTATAGCAAGATGCAGCCTTCCCATTTTGATGTCCTGAAGAGGTAACCACATATCGTTTCTTTGGCCGCCTCTAAACTCGCCAATATTCACTGAACATTCACTGCAACAAAACAGAAACTCAAAACAAGAAAATTTTGATATTCAACAAGTTTGGAGTAACGAGGGTTCAGGAACAAACCCAAGGGTATCATCCACAAATCGGTCTTTGTCTCGAACTTCAATGTTAAGTATACTTGGAGAGTCCCATGTAAAGATTGGTATCTTAAACTCTTCTTGCCATTTTGGGGACAATGTTTTCTTCTGTGTCTTGGTTTTGAATCGGTAAGCACCAAGTTTCCCTTTCACATAAGGGTCAGCCAAACCTGAAACCAAAACATCCAAGTTTTTCAAACCAAAAGGAAAAAGACTAATGCATGTGGTAATATTAAAACTAACCATTTAGATCAGATGGTTTAACATCTAATGCTTCAAAGACTTCAACTAAGACGTGTGCAACTGGTTCTTTCTCATCAACAAAGAACCAATTTTCTGGAGGCAAACACAGAAAAAAATTGCAAGTTAATGAAAGCTTGAGATATACCAGTGATTTCAAGTGCCAGAAGCAACGAAGTAAGAAAAAGTAATATAAGGTTGATAATCCTGCAATAAATACCTGATTTTGGCTAACAAATTTCTCCATGTCAACAACAAGCATATTTGGCTGCAACCAAATTGCAGGGAATTAAGAAATAGTAAAAACAATATCTTTAGACGGAGCCATTCATTGCTTAACTACAAGAAGGGGAAGCATAGAAAATAACCCAACAAACCGTCATTCTTACCTGAACAAGGGTCTGTTCAAATGCGATAGAAAGAAGTTTATCCTGATTAAGAAATTAAAGAAATGGGGAGACTTTTAGAGGGGAGAAAAAAAAACAAATGTGTGCGAAGAAGAGATTCAAGACTATTAGGATGTGTAGTACTTACTAGCCATCCTGCGATACCTGGAAGTACAGCAACATCAAGCCCGTGAGTGAAGATTGGTTTAACAGTCATCTGGAAATATGGAGGCTCTGCAAAACACACACGTAAACGCCCCAAGAAAGGCCACCGACGAAGGAACTTCACTCCGATTAGCACCTTTTAAGAGTAGAACGCAAAAATGTGTTTACAAAAATGAAAAGGTCCCATTCACATAAAGAAAAGGCTGCCCTACCTTTCCTTCCACGTGCATCCCCGTCAAATGCAACTTTGTCCACATCCCAAAACCAAGCCTTTTCCTTAATTTCACAGCAAGTATTGCACTCATATCATCTGCTGCGAGAAAATTCATTCCAAGTTCCAATACCTGCATAAACTCCAGCATAAGTTCTACCATAGATCAATGAGCGAAGAGGCCAAAGTATGATGTTCTATAAGGCATTGCAACTATACCAAGTGATCATCACCCGTAGATTGGCGAAGGACCCTAATATGAGTCAACAGAGGTGGATTTCTTCCCATGTAAAGGTGCTGTATCACAGCTTTTTTCTGCACATAAATCGCAAAAGATGTCAATACCAGCAAGTGTAGACTTCTTACAAGCCAAACCGAATTAAGACCAAAAGTAAATATTTCTTAGAGATGGATACCGCTGTCCAAGGTCTATATTTTTCCAAGAACCAAGGTATTATTGGACCCAGAATCTTCTGAGAGGCAATCTGTTCCATGCATATAGGCCATATCTTCTCCACAGCATAATTCATCCATCTCACAGATTCAGAATCAGATAGAACCTGAAAGATGCATAGCAAAAGAAACAAAAATTGAATGTAATGTAAGGAAAACTCAGGGGAAAAAAAATCCTCATTAGGTTAATCGCATACAGCTAATACACAGGCAAAAGCAAAAGAGCGAGTATTCTTAGCACTAAGTCAGTCCATAAATTGGCTAAAGTCTAGCTCTTTCACAGCTTCACTATACTATTTCAACCATTACAAGATCAATACATACTTCAAACAGAAAGAAAAAAAGCAACCTAGGAGCTTTAGAAAGTTATAAATTCCCAGCATTTTGTTTAGGGTAATCACTCACTCAACCAAACTAAAACCTAGGTTAGTCACCATTAACAGTGAACACATAAAGATAGAATCTTTCCCCACCTAAAGAAGAGAACAAACATGAAACAAAGACATTTAAAAGTTACCCGTCTCTGATTAGCTTGCTTCCTCTCTTCAAACTGCAATGTTCTCTTCAATCTCATCACATACCGTTCGTGAACCTGAAGAAACCCAAAAAGAAAAAGACAATCTTTACACATTCCATCAAAATCCAGACAAGTAGTCAAGAGAAACCATAGAGGCAAATCCCAGTACCAGGTAGAGATAAATGAGAGCGAGGAAATAGAAAAAGGCGTGGGATCGATTCAAGGAAGAGATGAACCAGAGTAACAACAACACAATGATAATATGATGAATTAACGAAGACTCCATCGTGTCCTTTGCTATGATCAGAAGAAGAGAAGAGCCGTCAAAGATTCACAAAGATTAAGTCTTTTTGATCAAAACTCCATCGGAATCGATTCGAAGTTGAAAGGGAAAGTGGTTTCTGTTTAGAAAGATCGAAAAAGCCAAGAAAACGATAATGTAGCGCGGAATGAAGCATTGATGTTTCTAGGATTATCCCTTGGGTTTCCCTTAAGTTGACTAATCTTGATATTTTCTCTTTTGATACACTTCCGAGATCAAACGTCGTCTTCACGACTGAATTGGATATTTCTCACTTTCATATGGTTACTTAGAAATTAGAAAAAGGAAGTCATTTAGCTTAAACCATTTCAAGTTTTAATTTTTCATTCTTTTAACCATTTTCACATCGATTAAAATATTATGTTTGTACCGAGGTTGTTAAAATAAATATATGGGGTTTCGAAGAAAACGGAGAACCTTTTTTATTAACAATGAACGAGAGCAATAATTTACAGAACGAAAAAACGGGAAAGTAAAAAATAAATGAGTTAAGCAACAATTTTCTTTTAAATTCTTTGGGTAATGACTTAAGGTCCAGATCACATTCTCTGTAGTGTCTTCTGCTATTTATAAGGTAGGAGCTGACTTAGGACTCTTTTTATCTTTTGATTCTGTTGGGCCCGACCAAACCGAGATGGGCCGAGCTGATACATTACTGTGTCAAGCCGCCGTTCTGTTTGGACCGAACTGCTATTCTGATGGGTCGTTGTTCTGATAGATCGTTTGTCCTTGTTACTTGTTAGCAGCTTGTTTGACTTAGTCAATCTTTGTTTGAATCGAATTAGACATATAGGGCAAAGCCCGTATCCCACACATTACTAGGAATGTAAACAGACGTATTCTTGAAGGATAAAATAATGCGATAGAATGAAGCATTAATCACCGTTTTCGTGAAATCTAACTATTGACTAAGTATTTCATTCTAACTATTGTCTATTGATAGAATGATTTGTTGTCGGCAACACTTTGGTTTTTAGTTAAGACTAAAAGCCCATTATAAGCCCATCAGTTTAGGCCTTATTAAGTCCATCTCTAAACTCGTAAGCTCTTCTTCACCTTCAAGGTTTAATAAGTTCGCTTCATGAATCTCCAATAACTTTTCTCAGATGATTTTTTAATCTTATCTGATAAAAATCATCTGATTCCATTATTGTTACGTGCAGAAGCAGAACTGATCCATCACGGGTCCCACCACCACATTGTTTGTTTCAAGAAGCTGTTGACGTCGACACTTTTGTGGCTGATAACAATAATGGTGATGACTCATTTTCCACGTCTCCGACAACTTCTTCTACTCCAACCCAAATTCCTCTCTTCTCAACCTCGTATCCTCCGTTCTCCTTCTCCTCTAATCAGAACTCCAACATTTCGCCGATCATTGATGGGTTCGTCTTCATCTTTCTCCTCCTCCTCCTCCTCGAAGCTTCTCTTTCGTCAACTCTTTGAGAAAGAATCTTCCACCTTCACTTATCTTCTCGCCGACGTTTCTCATCCTGATAAACCAGCTTTGGTATGTTTTCCTTCCTAAAGATGGAATTTTTCGATATGGGTTTTGAGTTTTTCGTGTCTGATCGTTGTTAATGGATTAGTCAATAGGCAATTTTGAAAAGATCATCAATTTTGGATCAAGTGATGTTCTTTGTTTATCTGATTTGTTGAATTTGGATTGTTTTATGTGATGGAGCAGTTGATTGATCCGGTGGACAAGACTGTGGATAGAGACTTGAAGCTGATAGATGAGTTAGGCTTAAAGCTTATCTATGCTATGAACACTCATGTTCATGCTGATCATGTCACTGGAACTGGACTTCTTAAGGTCTGTTTTCCCTTGCTTGAACTGATGTAATTGTTTTACATTTCTCCTGTTTTGGTTGAAGTCGAAGATTTGGTGATATATCTTTGTTTGCTCCCCACAGACGAAGCTCCCGGGTGTGAAATCCGTTATTTCGAAAGCAAGTGGTTCTAAAGCTGATATGTTTCTTGAACCCGGTGACAAAGTATCTATTGGCGATATATACCTCGAGGTATGAATCTAAAGTTTTGAACCGGTATGATAAATGAAAGGCTAGAAAGTGAAGAGTGTAATGATTATTTCATTTGTCTTAGGTTCGTGCTACACCTGGGCATACTGCAGGATGTGTTACATATGTGACTGGAGAAGAGGCTGATCAGCCCCAACCAAGAATGGCTTTTACCGGGGATGCTGTACTCATCCGTGGTTGTGGGAGGACTGACTTTCAGGTACTCAGAATAATGTAGATGCATAAGATCTGATTTTGTGTTACGGCATCGTTTATAAAGAACCTAAAACTCTAATGTCAATGCATAAGTTCTAGATTTTGTAATGAGGCATCGTATTAACTGTACTATGATGTTTCCCTTGGTGTTTCAGGGCGGAAGCTCTGATCAACTCTACGAGTCTGTACATTCACAGGCAAGTGTTTCACATTTCATAGGCAAGTGGTTCATGTTTTCAAGGACTCTGTTTAAACGCTTTTGTTGATCCTTTTACCAGATATTTACATTGCCAAAGGACACATTGATCTATCCAGCTCACGATTACAAAGGTTTCGAGGTAATGCACAACGCCAATTCATTCGCATTGGCTTGTTTAATGGAAAATATGACTCATCCACACAATGGTTTTAACATCTTTCTGTGAAAATTCAGGTAAGTACAGTTGGAGAAGAGATGCAACACAACCCGCGTCTAACTAAAGATAAAGAAACATTCAAAACCATTATGTCAAGTAAGTTTCTTCTGCTTATTATCCTAAAGTATTCATCAGCTCATAAAATGACCGCGGTTTTTGCTCTTACAGATCTCAATCTGTCGTATCCGAAGATGATTGATGTTGCAGTACCAGCAAATATGGTATGTGGGTTACAAGATGTGCCTTCTCAAGCCAACTAAAAACTCTACACAATATGTTTGTCTATATTTACCAAAGCCAATAAAACTCTTGAGAGTAGTTTATCCAATAAGATTTGCTTCCGTTTTAGATAAGCTCATTAGAAGATTGTGTAATGAACATGTGGAATTTGTTATGAAGATGAAGATAGTATTTGCGTGTTCAACTTTTGTTTGGTTTGCTTATTGATCATTGATGTGTCAACTACTTTTCAATTGACATAATCTAAATGAGCTTTTCAACCACTCGTCCATGTTCTGCTTGTACGTGTCGAAATTGCTAAGACCTTTAAATCCGATCAAACAATGACTCTCAGCGTGAGAGAGACAATCTTGCTATCTTTTTCTGAGTGGGAGAACTTGAAATTCCACAATCTCCTCAACTAACTTATCATAAGCATATGTCTTAAAGAAAATTAAACTCCTCAACTAAACTTATGTCAAACATGTGTCTAAAAGAAATCAAACTCATGAGACGTTTTTACTTTCTGAAAACTGAAAAGTATATTCACACGGTAGGTTGAAAACAAATGGTTGAATATTATCTTTGTATAACAACACAACTTACTATCTTTGTACTTGTCACTCTATAATCTTTGTATTCATTTTCATGTTTCTCTTTACATCTCTCTGTTTCCCCCAAATTTCTCCTTCTTGTTCCAAAAATCTCCACTTCTAGTAGATGCTCCACACACAACTAAGGTATCATAATTACTTCATATTTCCCAGGGTGTAGAGAAGGAGAAGGCCAAAACCAGGGGAGACACTGTGTTTTGTACATGGTCCTTGGGCCTTGTTTATCGTATGTGGCTTTCGGTCTCTCAATCTTTGCTCCATTTCTATACCAGTCTTGATCTCAAGGGAAAATTCGATGTTTGACCCCTGAAACTAGCTGGTTCCATCATTGTGTCTTTCTTCATCCTGAAAGGGCTTGCAGCAAACTCCGCTAAGTTGTACCCACTGTCTTGACCAGGAAATGCGTAAGACGGGTGAGGAGGTGACAGGAAACAGCTTTTGTATGCCGGCCCAAGTTGGCGTAAAGGGCTTGAACATGGAGATACTGGCAAGGATGTGATAGCTCTTACGTTTTCTCTGCTGCAAGAACCAAATACGAGATCAGTTGACTCGACCAAGTATCAAATAGATTGAGCTACAACGCTTTTACCTCGGGCTCTTTATAGTTCTAGACAATGGTTGTCTTGGGTAATTATCATGGCTTAGTCTCCCTGGATAGGATTCCCTTGTTGGCTGCTCAAGAAGAAAATCAAGTTTAACTTGATGGGAGGAATCAAATTGATCCAGCTCAACATATGCATTAGACACATACCAGTGAGAAGCTTCCATCATGGGAACGTGGGGAGGTATCTTTGGGCATGCTAGTACTAGCCACTCTTGTTGTATTACGTAGAAAAGGGTGTTCTAGAAGCTGAGAAGCTGTAGGACGTACTGTCGGATTTCGTTGCAGACAAAGCCTTATAAAATTCTTTGCATCGTTTGAAAGGTGATCAGGTATTTCCGGGGTGTCTTTACTGTTTCCGATTTTGAAAATCGCAGCAACCTGGTACAAATAATGTCACCAGATAACTTGAAAATTAGAAAAAAAAAGAAGAGTGAACAAAAGATTATGTCCAAGCGTCAGTATCATATACCCCTTCAAACTGGCTCCAAGGTGGCTTTGATGTTGCCATTTCGAGAATAGTACAACCCAAACTCCAGATATCGACTGCATGAGTGTAACCATTTTGGCTCATCACAACCTGCGAAAGAACAGAAGCATGATGTGAAATCCTATCAGCTGCCACAACATAAGGGCCTTCCACTGCACCACTTGCAAGAGAAAAGTAAATAAAAGATAGAATAGTGTAACTACCTCGGGTGCCATCCAGTAAGGACTCCCTTTGAAAGAAAGCATAGTAGAAAAGGCTGCTACCTGTTGCAGAAAGAAATGGCTATTAGAGCTTCTGCAAGCATAATTTTCAAGATATATATATATATATATATATATATATATATATAAAAATAAAGGAGATAAAACAATTGATATCTTCTGTTGCCCATTGATGACATTCAAGAGATCATGTATTCATATTTTTGTTATAAAGTTCATAGATATACTTACATGTCTGGCCATCCCAAAGTCTGCCAACTTGATTTCACCATTCGGATCCACTAATATATTTGCTCCTTTGATGTCCCTATTAGAACAAAATCCCTCTTTATTAAATGTCCACGAAGAGAAAAATTGAGTTCCATTCAACCTTTAAGATGTCATTTTGAATACCTATGTACTGTATTTCTTCCATGTAAATAGGCAAGCCCAGCGAGAATCTGCCGCGTGTAGTTTTGGATAACAGGTTCAGTGAAAGAACCATATTCTTTAAGTAGTTTATGGATTGAACCACCTGACACATACTCCAAGTAGACGGACAAGGTTTCTTCACTCTACAAGCATAACAATTTCCAGGCCAGGCTTCAATATTGGTTTCTATATAACAATATTACGCTGCCCAAACTCAACTAGCATATATGATCTCTTCTTTTCCTGAAGCTCACAGATATTGACACATACCAGTTCACTTCCGTAATACTGGACGATATTCGGATGACAAAGCTGGTTAAGCAAATTTATCTCCTGCAAATAAAATAGTGTGGTTAGAGGTGTGAAAAATATTAGAGTGTTTCACAATTTCGTTTTAAATAAGATCTGAAAGCAATCAGATCTTGACATATACAAAAGATGAGGCGAACTAGATAAACCTGATTTAGTTGCTTCAGACATTCTTTTGACGTTTGGTCGTCAGAAATGACCTTCACCTCTTTAATAGCACACATTTTTCCTTTCTCACTGTAAGATTGGCGAAAACATCATACGATGGAAACAACCAATTTAGAAAGAAGGATGCTGAAGTTCTCTATTTCACTTTGATGTGGAAACGTAAAATTGGGGTTTCGGTTTTACAAAGTTATAATGTAAGAACCTAGCATAATAGAAATTTTTGCTTTCTATTGCCTTTATCTAGATAGCAGGTGAAGTTAACCTCAAAATTTTGATCAAGTAATTGCAGACATGAACCATCAGAAATGTCCACCAGCATATCACAGAGTCATAACGTCTCTAGATACTGGTTTAAGAGAGCTACTAACCTAGGTATCAATATTAATGACCTCCGGATCCACACAATGCAAATATAGTTTCCACCTACGGAGAAAGCTAGCATCAAACGCTCTATCTGTCTGGACATCGCAGATTACATGATCTAAAGGAGTGGGAAGGCTTTTCTAAAACCAAGGTTAGCTAACTAACTCTTGTCACCTAAAAAACTAATCCAACTCACTCACTTGATAAGATTTTCCTTATCTAATGCTATGACATTTCTTTTATCTCACCTGTTGAACCCAAGATAGACTTGGCCAAAGGTGCCACTCCCAAGAAATTTCCCTTTTTTCCACTTGGAAAACCCCGAAGGAGAGGTTGTCTCGTAGCCTCCTCCAATCCAGGAACCATGCACAGCAGAAGGGCTTGTAGGAGAAGTAGGTGGTCGAGGCAAAGGGTGACACTCAGAAGAAGACCTTCCATCATCATTCCTCCCTGTAGAAGACTCTAAGCTCACAACTGCAGACAATCGCTGATGCAGTGGAGACGTGGGCCTAATCGTAGCAGTAGCTACCTTTGGAGAAGCTCTCTCTGGGCTACGTGGTGCTGCTGCTACATTGAATTTCACATCACCATGACCCCTGTTATATGCTTATCAAGTTAGAGCCACAAAACCAACAATCCAGACAATAAAAACGTAATCTTTGATTGATTAAGAGGTTCTGGATCCATTGAAGATGCACAATTCCATAGAGTAACTACTAAAGAGGGAAAAAGCAAACCTAGAAGCAACAAGTTGACTCTGATCATCAGCTGATCCAGAAGAGCTAACGCTAGAAACAGAGGTAGATCCAGAAGTGGATCCGCTTACATGATCTTGATGATGGATCGAAACAGGAGAGAGTAAAGGACGAGGAAGAGGATGACCTTTCTTCTCGGTAGAATCAGAGAAAGCAGAAGAAGCTCCGGCGAATTCACGACTACAACGAGGTGTACCAACACGAGTAGGAGTGAGAGGAGGATCAACAACACAGCTCTTGATATCTCTATCTGTGGAGATAATTCCTTTGTGATTATCGTCCTTGTTCTTGCAGGACTTTCTTCCCCACCAAGTAGGCATATCACAAAACTCTGGAAGGATTTTTGAATTGAAAGGTGAGATTTTTAACAGAATCGATGACAGAGAGAAGATGAAATTAGGGCATGACAAGGAAGAGAGATACGAAAGATGAAGATTTCATCGGGAGAGAAGAGAGAGAGAGAGGACAGCTAAGCACGAAAGGGTAGTTGGAGAAAGAGAGACACACAAGTTGCGACCTTTTTCACTTTTTTTATCTATCTTCTTTCGCCGTCGGATTAAACAAGACAACCTGCTCTGCTCTGGTAAGTTACTAAGTTTTGCTTCAAAGATACATTTTTTCGGTTTTTTTTAATAAAGTTCAAAGATGAGTTTTTTTTTTTTTTTTTTCCAAATAAAGTTCAAAGATGGAAATTTTTTGCGACATGGGTTTTGAGATTTTTGTGTTTTTTTTCTAAATCATTATAGTTTTGGTTGATGATTACTCTTTGGTTAATTGGTTTTGTGCGGGTAATCATGTTATGAACACTCAATGGAACTCGACTTCTTATAAGGTCTGTTTCTGTTGGTTGATGTAACATCATGTAAGTGTTTACATTTCCACTGTTTGGTTTAAATCAAAAATTCAGTAGTATCTCGTTCTTTGCTCCCCCAAAGCCAAAGCTCCGGTGTGAAATTCGTCATTTTGAAAGCAGATGTGTTTCTTGAACCCGGTGACAGGGATGTGAAACCAAAATTACAATCCACTGAGATGCGCTAGAAGTAAAGAGAGTAATAATCAACATTTTTGTAGCAGATTCATGCTGCACCTGGCCATACTGTAGGATGGGTTACATACTTACATATGTTACTGAAGAAGAGGCTCATCAGTCTCAAACAAGAATAGCTTTTACCGGGGATGATGTCCTCATCTGTGGTTGTTGGAAGACGGACTTTCTGGTACAAAAAAAGCAGAGGAAAAGTCAGTAATAAAGAACCAAAATCCGCGATGTAGATGCAATATATCTAGATTTTGTTCATGCAAAGTCACTCATACTGTTCAAAGACTCAATCTAAAACGCTTTTGTTGATCTTTTTACCAGATATCTACACTGCCAAAAGACACATTGATCTATCCAGCTCGTGACTACAAAGATTTCACGGTCATACAAAACGCAATATTCATTATGTCAAGCTATGTTATTCCGTTTTGTATGCTCAAGTAGTCATAATAACTGCGGGCTCCGGTTTTTGCACTTACAGATCTGAATCTTGCATATAGAAAGATGATTGATGTTGCAGTACCAGCAGATATGGTGAGTCTGCCTTCTCAAACCTACTAAAAAACTCTACACAATTTGTTTCTCTCTTTCACTCATCCTTCATTCTATATTTACTAGAAACCCATAAAACTCTTGAGAGTTTGTTTGTCCAATAAAATCGTTGTTGCATTAGATAAGATTGTGTAAATTAGATTAAACATGTGGGATTTGTTATGAAGATTCGATGAAGACAGTAATTGCGTGTTCAACTTTTGTTTGGTTTGCTGATTGATTGATGTGTTAACTACTTCAATTAACAATAGCATAATCTAAATGAGCTTTTCTAACAACAACCACTCGTCCATGTGTCTGCTGCCACGTGTCTAATTTGCTACAACCTTAAATCTGATTAAACAACAATGAGAGATAGAGAGAGAGAGAGACATAATGGGAAAAGAAAAAGACAAAAACAGAGGGGCTTCTCCTCCATCTTACGGCACGTTTCAAGGTGTCCCTACTTATCCTCCACCGTCGTATCCTCATCCTCCGTCGCATCATCCAGTCATCAGATTTCCTCAGCCGTCTCCACCTCCCGGAACATCTCATCACAACATTTCCGTTCATCAATACATCCAAGAACATCAAACCGTTCCTGGTAAGTGACTCTCCGAATCTTTAAAACCCTTTGTCAGAGCCAGCCTTGAATCTTGATCTTCAAGATGAAAAGTTTAGATTTTGCTTCATCTTTCGTCAACCCTTTTGATAGTATCTCCATGGTTACTAAAGATGAGACTGAGACTATGCCTGAGCTTGACACTAAAATTGTCTCTTCTTTATGATCCAACTGAGAAAACGTACTTCTCATTGATAAGATTCTTAAAAATGATATCAGAGTTTATTTCTTCCAGTACGCAAAAACTTAAACTCTCTATATTCAATGTTGGGAAGCTCTCTATGTTTCTAGCCACAATAGTTCACAAAGTTTTAAAACCAAATGTGTAACTTAATTTGCAGGTTACCCTGTTTCTGAAGGAAGACCTGCAAGACAAAACCGTCTTCCTTGTTGTGGTCTTGGCCTCGGTTGGTTCTTGTAAGTGTTTTGTGTTTTCTTAGCAAATCTCAAATTAGTCTTTGATTACAATCACTTAACATTTTGTCTGAAAAACTCGGTCTCTTTTTTTATATCTTCAAGGTTCATCATTGGTTTCCTCCTTGGTGCAATCCCATGGTACATAGGCGTATTCATTCTAGTATGTGCTAGGATCGATACGAGAGAGAAACCAGGATACATAGCTTGCACCATTGCAGTGAGTCTTTCACTAAACAATAATGTGTTTTATACATTAATCTTGAGATTTAATCAGTGTTTAACTAACACTTTATACTTTCACAGGCTGTTGTTGCTACAATTGCCATAGTTTTTGGTGTCATGGGAGGAAGAGGAGCCTGGTCGTGAAGTGTGCAAATTAAGACATTGTTCATCAAGTATCTTGAATGTGTATATTTTAGTGTGTGTGCTTGATGATTTAAGTGTGCAAATAAATACATTCTTCATCAAGTATCTTGAGCTGTGTTTATAATATATAGAATCAAAAGCTTATTTTGACTTTATAAAAGATTTACATAAGCTTAAGATCCTCTAGATAGTTTGCAAATGCGTGAACCCAACACCCACTAACCATAAGTGGAACTTCAAGTCTTACTCTTGTGATAATGTTCCTCTCGAGATTGTAGTACAAAACGAAAAAATGAACTACTGAATAGGATGGGTGCAACACAATTTCACCACTAGCAATCATTCCAGCAGCACGTACAGCAGAAATCATTACAGACAGCTGAGGCATTTGGTAGAGATACTTTGACCATTTATGTTCCTCCGCATTCTCTAAAACCCACAACTCAAACAGATTCTTGTAAGTATCACAATTACAAGCACCTAATTTACCCTTGTAGTCTATCAAAGCGAAACTGTAAGAACTGATCTTTTCGGCTGTCATGTCTTCTAGATCAACGTTAATAAAACTAAAACTCTCAGACCTAACATCAAAGCAAGCGATGGCAACGCAATGTCTTTTACCCTTATAGCACCCTGCTGGATAATACAAAACACCACTGATGCATATCTTATTATCATCGTGAGACATGTAAGGATAATGATTTGTGCAACATTGGATATTTCTCCATAAGAGATTTTTCTTTCGAGCCCCTCCTAATGTTAGAACTTGATACTGACTGGAATTTTGTGTGTCATACTCATACAAGGTGGTGATACGCAATATCTTGAACTGTTTGTCGATTGGATCATACCCAAAAGAAAAAGAATAATGGCTTACATTGTCCATGCATGAACCGCTCTGACTTATTCATAATCTCATCCATTCTCAGTCTAGGCAAGGCTAAACACTCTCCTGTGATGGGATTAGAATTTAGAAATCACCACCACTGGTGAAGGATGCATTGGATTCTTTCGATAATGTTGACGACAGACCAATCCGCCAACCGGAGGACGATATACACTGAAACCTTGCCCACGTGTCCTTTGATGAAGGGTGGCTACAAGAGACGTGTTCTCACCAGGATTGTGAAGCTGAGGTGAAGAGTAGACGAACAACTCTCTTTCATATTCTATGGTGAAAACGATCCGCGGTGGAGCCGGGGGCTTGATCGGGAACAACAGGTTGTAATTTGGAAGGCGGATTCGGGATGACCAGAGCTTAGATACGCAACGACACTGAGCTATAGATTTCAGAGGCAATCTCGACAAGATATTACTGATTACGAGATCAACAGGGATCCGATCAAAGTATTCGGTTTCTTCCACAGAGATTGAAGATCTCAGTTGATTCATGGTGGATGGATTAAAGGGCACGCTAGGTTTGGTGGCTCAGCTCGAGTCTCTCTCACTTGCTTTTATGTCCTTGCATAAGTTGGGCTTTTTATGGGCCCAAACTCACAATACACTCCTTCATTGTGGCCCATTTGTAAACGACTAACCAATTTAAAATTTACAAAAAATATTTGTTGGGTTTACCATACTTCTTTCAGTGTGGAATTTTAAAACAAGAACGTGAATTCAGAGCATCTCGAGATGAATTTTGTCGTCTTTTTAAATCTGCGTTTTAATTTCATAAGCGTGTGTGAACTTAGGGTCTAAGTAGAAGTAGCCTACGACTAGGAAAACTTGATATCACTCACCAACTACCCGATATCGATACAAACAATCACTTTGGTTTCAAACTTTCAACACATTTTTTTTCTGAAAATTCGGCTTTTTTATCGTCAAGGTTCATCATTGGTGCAATCCCATGGTGCATAGGTGTATTCATCCCATGGATCAATCTAGGATACGTAGATTGTACCATTGCAGTGTGTCTTTCACTAAACGATTATCGAGTTTTACACATTAATCTTGTGATTTAATCAGTGTTTTAACCGTTACTTTTTATAGGCTGTTCTTGCTAGCTAAAATTGCTATCGTTTTTGGAATCATGGGAGGATGAGGAGCTAGCTTGGTGGTGAATTGGAAATTAAAACATGGTTCATCAAAATATCTTGAATGCGTATAATTTTATAGAAGAAACTGTAGTTTTTGTTTTTCCATCGTGGAACATTCTCATAGTACTTAATTTGACTTTTAAGACAACTTTTTGCAGAGTTAGTTCCAGAGATAATATATTTACCAACTTAGATCCCTCGAGCAAGTTCTCAGCCAATTTATAAATCCTTCAAGCAAGTTCTCAGCCAATTTATAAATCCTTCAAGCAAGCTCCTCAGAACAATATCCCAATTTTAGAACGATCTAACACATTTAAGATCCTTTGAACATGTTCCTAGTGACAATTGCAGCAATTTAAATCATTTAAACATGTTTATCCCATTTATCCCTTGAACAAGAGAATTGGATTTTATAGCTTCATTGGGAAATTAGAGTAAAAGGCAGAACAGAGAAAACAAATGTTTTAAATTATATAACTAAACAGAGAAATAATAACTCCAAAAGACAGAAAAGAAAGAAAAAAATGACAAAGATAGATAATGTGATAAATTCGGTTTGGAAGAAGTGAACACTTACATAAGCTTGACATCCTCTACATAGTTTGGAAAAGCTTGAATCCTACACCCATGAAACTTTTTAAATAGTGGAGCTTCAAGTTTTACACCGGTGGTAATGTTGCTCTCGAGATTGTAGTACAAAACGAAGAAAGGATCTTGTGTAAAGCTTGGGTATAACACAAGTTGGCAACTACCAAACATTCCAGCAGGACGGACATGACTAGTTTCCTCGAGCCACGGATGAGATATTCCGTGGATATGCTTTGACCATTTATTTTGCTTGGCATCCTCCAAAACCCACAACTCCAAAAGATTAGTGTCAAACTCAAAACTACAAGCACCTAATTTACCCTTGTAGTCGATCAAAGTTAAAGTGCCAGATTTTATCTTTACTGCCATGTCTCGATCAATGTTAGTAAAACTAAACTTCTCAGACCTAACATCAAAGCAAACGATGGTACGTTTTCCCTTATAGATCTCTGCTGGATAATGCAAAACACCATCGATGCATATCGCAGTATCGTCTGAAGAAAAATGAATTTTGCAACATTGGATCTTTCTCCATAAGAGATTATTATATCCAGTCCCTAATGTGAGAACTTGATACTCATCTGACAAATGTTGTGAGCCAGTACGCATCCAGGTGATACACAACACTTTGAACTGTTTGTCGATTGGATCATACCCAAACGAATATCTTGCTTTATCAAATAACCACTCTGACTGATCAATCCCATTTAAACTCAGTTTGGGCAAGTTTAAAGACTCTCCTGTGATGGGATTATAAATCAACCCCACTGAATTGTACTGACGACACACCAGTCCGCAGACAGGACCACATATCTTATAGAACTTGGTGTTACCAGTCCTATTATGAAGGGTGGCTACAAGAGACGAGTTCTGATCCGGATTGTGAGGCTGAGGTGAAGAATAGAAGAAACACTCTCCTGAAACGTCGATGGTGAAAAGGATCCGTGGTGGAGCTGGGGTCTTGATCGGGAACAACTGGTCGTAATTTGGACGGCGAATTATGGACGACCAGAGCTTGGATACGCAACGACACTGAGCTTTAGACTTCACCGGCAATCTCGACAAGATATTACTGATGACGAGATCAACAGGGATCCGATCAAAGTATTTTGTTTCTTCTCCAGAGATTGAAGAAGGCCTTTTCATGGTGGATGGATTAAGGAGAGCGCTAGGTTTTGGTGGCTCAGCTAGAGAGTCTCGACGTGCTTTATACCTAAACCTAACCTATATATCCCTCGACCACGATCCACAAGTTGGGCTTTATTAGGGGCCCAATACTTAATGTGACCCATTTGTATATATGAATCATTTTTTTGATAGGAAATATATATGAATCATTAACCACCAATTTATCATTTGAATCATTGTATATATGAATCAATTTTCGATGATTTAAAGCATGAACTATGCATCTGGTGATTAAAATGCTCAATTTTATGTTGACTTTCACTTAAATCACAAATTTTCGTTGATTTAAAGCATGAATTCTGCATTTGGTGATTAAAAAGTTCAATTTTCTTCTTTCGATTCCGATTTTGTGCCTCAATTGGCTTTGTCAACAAGAATTTGTGATTAAATTGAAAATCAACATAAAATTGAGCATTTTAATCACTAGGTACAGAGTTCATGCTTTCAACAACGAAAATGAACAACTGATGATTTATATGACATTTTTCTCATTTAAATTTACAATAACATTTTCGAATGCGCGTATTTAAATAAGAACGTGTGAAATTTTAAGCCATCTTTATCAGTAGAAACTGTAGGAGTTTCTCAAAATAATGTATTTTAATAATTATCATATAATCTTATTATTTATTTAAATAATTATTCAGAAAGTAATTATTTAACCTATTAAAATATGACATGTGTAGACAACAGTTTCTAGGATTTTTCTGCATAGAAACGTTTCTCAATCTCTCTACTCCTTTATTATTATTTTTTGTTTTTTTATTAATGAAAAACCATGTGAGAAACTCCTAATAGAGATGCTCAGCATCTCGAGATGGAGTACCGTTTCTGCAAAGGTTTTTGTTAGAGAGAATAATTTGATAACTCAAAGATCAACTTCCTTCTTGTTTTCAGCAAGGTTAGGCCACAAAAAAGGCATCAAAACCTAATTTGTTCATGTAAATAACGCAGAAACTGACTTTGTGTTTCCTCTCCTTTTGTAACCAAGCAGAGGATTGAATAAATAGTCAAGACACGCAAGAAACACAAAGGACAAAGATATATAAGTTCTTTTTGAATAGAAGTAAACACTTACATAAGCTTAAGATCCTCTACATAGTTTGTAAATGCGTGAACATCACACCCAATAAACAATAGTGAAACTTCAAGTTTTACTCTTGTGAGAATGTTGCTCTCGAGGTTGTAGTAAAAAGATGAAGAAAGGATCTTGTGTACACCGAGGGTAAAACACAATTTCGCCACTATCAATCATTCCAGCAACACTTGCATAAGTAAATCTATACAAATGGGGCATTTGGTATGTTTTCCGGTACTGAGCCTTGCGGGATAATACAAAACTCCATTGATGCATATACCATTATCTTCTAGTGGATAATGAACTATGCGACATTGGATCTTTCTCCATGAATGATTTCCAAACCCTAACGTTAGAACTTGATACTCACTAGACCGCTCGTGTGAGCCGCTACGCAACCATGTGATACGCAATACCTTGAATTGTTTTTCGATCGGATCATACCCAAAAGAATATCTTACTTTTCCATTTCTCCTCTCTGAATTCATCCCCTCCATTCTCAGTTTGGGTAAAGTGAAAGACTCTCCTGTGATGGGATTAGAAATTACCGCCACTGAATAGTTATTTTCGATATGTTGGCGACAGACCAATCCGTGGACAGGGCGACAAAACTTAAAGAAATTTGCGCTAGAAGTCCTCTGAAGAGAGGTGGCTACAAGAGACAAGTTCCTACACGGATTGTGAGGCTGAGGTGAAGAGTTGAATAACAACTCTTCTGAAACTTTGAACGCGAAAAGGAGCCGCGGTGTAGCCGGAGACTTGAACGGGAACAACAGGTTGTAATTTGGACGGCGAACTATGGACGACCACAGTTTGGATACACAACGACACCTCGCAATACACTCCAGAGGCAATCTCGACAAGATATTGATGATGAGATCAACGGGAATCGGATCAAAGTAACATGTTTCCTCTCCAGATGTTGAAGATCGTTTATTGGATCTGGCTACGATTAGGTTATCCTTGTAAACTTGCTGCTTACGTTTTCTCATGATGAATTAAAACCCTAGATTTTGGCTCTGTAGTGGTGTGCTTATTGATTTTCTTTTTATCGTGGAATCATATATTTCTGCAAAGTGGTTGCTCCTTGCCTCCTTCTCAGTCTTCCATAACTTGGGCTTTATTAAGGCCCAATAGCTCTACTCACTCATTTCTGGCCCCAATTAGCCTGATACATGCATTCTTCTTGTTTATTTATGTAAAAGGTAAAATACAATCTACATAAATATTGATGAAGAAATCAACAGGCTACGGTTTTTTTCTCCAGAGATTGAAGAACACCTCGGTGTGGTTGGATTAAAGGACACGCTAGATTTTGGTTTTTGGATCACAGCTATAGTCTCGGTTCTGTGATAACGAGAAATCAATAAGAAAGTTCAAATCGATTTCATAAGGATAACTTGTTACAACGTTCCTAAAACGCGATAACAACTTCTCACCTGCAAGAGTCTCGAGAAGAGATTCTCCAGCAAAACGATGAGGGAAGCAACCAGAAAGTTCTAGAAGAAATACAACAATAACAACTTTTGCATAAAAAAAGTGTGAGCTCACACGCAGCTCTTTTATAGAAGATAAACAGTGTTAACAGCTTCTCCCGTCATCTTCCGTCACCGTTACTGCAAGTGGCTTAATTCTCCAGCTCATCGCTTCACACGTGACCTCCCTTCACACGTGCGATCATATCTTCTAGAAGGCTATATCATTCTGTTTCGAAAGAAGACATTTTAATTTGTTCTTAGCAAGCAACAAGAAGAAAGATTCAGCCAAAATTTTCTTTCCTTGAAAAAAGAATATCGTCGCTCCTAGTATCGAGCAGCTCATGAAACTCTATCCCACGCGAAAATCTAACCACAATGGTATTCAATGTATATATGTGAAATACAATCTACATGAATTTTTTCATCTTTTTGAATAGCCAGATTAATACAAACATATGTATCTGGTTCTTCTTCTTGGAGTTCTTAAAGTGTCTTCAACTCTTCATGCTAATTTCACAACATTTTGTAAAGATCTCATTACTTTTACAAGGTGTTGTTCCTACAATTGCCATAATTTCTAGTGGATCATTGGGGGAAAAGACGCAACTAAAACATTATTGTTTTCTGTAATGTCTCAAAATTGAGCTGTGTTTGCAATAAAATCAAAAGCTTATTTGAACATTGTTAGACATTAAGCTTTGGTTATGCAGAGGTTTGAATACAGTCATGATTTTTCTTTCCCTTTGCAGAGTTCCATAGATATCTTCAAAAAAACTTAAAAGACCCACAAGAAAAAAAGAGAAACAAATTAAGATAGATAAATGTGATTAGGTCTGTCTGGGAGAAAGAGTAATTAAACACCTAGATAAGCGTCACATCCTCTACAAAATTTGAAAATGTGTAAAATCTACCATAAGTTAACTGTTTACGTATTGGAACTTGAAGTGTTACTCTTGTAATAATGTTCCTCTCCAGATTGTAGAAGTAGAGGAAAGGATATCTTGTATAAGCACTAAATCTTGGGTACAACACAATTTCACCACTTGCAATCATTCCAGCACATTCTAAGACGCCCAAATGTGGCATTTTGTAGATATGCTTTGACCATTTATGTTCCTCCGCATTCTCTAAAACCCACAACTCAAAATTATGGAGATGATCAGAAATACAAACACCTAACTTACCATTGTAGTCGATGACACTAACAAAGAGATAGGTCACTATTGACACGTCTTTATCAATATCAGTAAAACTGAATTTTTCAGACCTAACATTAAAGCAAACCATGGTAGATTTTCCGGTATTAAGCCTTGCGGGATAATACAAAACACCATTGATGCATATACCATAATCTTCTAGAATATAATGAGGTGTGCAACATTGGATCTTTCTCCATGAAAGATTTCCAAGCCCTAATGTCAGAACTTGATACTCACTATACCACCACTGTGAGTCCCTAGGCAACAATGTGATACGCAATACCTTGAATTGTTTGTCGATCGGATCATACCCAAAAGAATAACTTACTTTTCCAATTCTCGTCTCTGAATTCACCCCCTTCATTCTCAGTTTGGGTAAGGCTAAATACTCTCCTGTGATGGGATTAGAAATCACCGCAGATGAATAGTTCTCTTCGATATGCATGCTGACAACATACCAGTCCGTGGACAGGGCGACATAATTGAAAGAAACTTGTGTTACAAGTAGTCTTCTGAAGAGAGGTGGCTACAAGAGACGAGTGCCTATCCGGATTGAAATGCTGAGGTGAAGCGTTGAATAACAACTCTCCTGGAACTTTGAAGACGAAAAGAAGCCGCGGTGTAGCCGGAGACTTGAGCGGGAACAACAGGTTGTAATTTGGACGGCGGATTATGGACGACCACAGTTTCGATACACAACGACACCTTGCAATACACTCCAGAGACAATCTCGACAAGATATTGATGACGAGATCAACGGGAATTGGATCAGAGTAACATGTTTCTTCTCCAGATGTTGAAGATCGTTTATTGGATCCGGCTACGGTTAGGTCATCCTCGATGACTTGCTGCTCATGTTTTCTCATGATGAATGAAAACCCTAGATTTTGGCTCTGTGATGGTGTCCCCAATCTGAACAAAAGATATGGAATAATAATTCCTAAAATATCAAGGAATTGGAAGACTCTGTCTTCTAGCGGATGCTGCACCCAAGCTCCATAAGTTGGGCCTTTATATTTAGGCCCCAATACCTTCCTCAGATCCGGGCTTACAGTTTGAACTTTGAAACATCACATTTGTTTAGATATGTAAAATACAATCTGCGTGAATTCATTCATCTAATCGATAAATTAATACAAATCGATAAATTAATACAATAATAATTTTTTAAAAAATCCTATGTAAACATATGGTCTTTTCAATATCATAAATTAATAATTGTATAAATATGTCAACTATATATATATATATATATATATATATATATATATATATATATTATGTAAAAAACTTCAATGAAATATAATTCTAGTATTATTTTTTTTTTGCTTAAATTCGCATTAGTTCTTGTTTGAGTTTAATTCTATTATTTTTACTGTATCAATAAGATTAATTATTTTGTAGACATAATAATTATTTTTTACTTGTAATTGGTTCTAGAAAGATATTTTATATTATGAAGAAAATCTTATAACCGAGATGTAGCTTTCTTTACAGACTGTTCAGATTTGGTGAAGATGGTGTCTTCCCCAACCGAATGGCCGGCCTTCTCAGTGTATTTGGAAGATTTGAAGAGTGACAAAGAAGAATTCTCTAATTTTTTTTTATCTTTAATTCCGCGTAGCGCAAATGTAAAAGCGGATAATTTGGCACGAAAAATTCGTACCGAACCGCATCATATCACTTATGTAAACAACATTCCCCAGGAATGGCTCTTTTAAGCATCCATTTTATTTAAGCTGTTGACAAAAAAAAAAATTAAAAAGTTGCATAATTAGGGAAACTCTCTATAAATTAATATTTATTAATTTATCAATAAATTAATAACTCTATAAATTAATAGAATTTTGCAGTCCCAACATTATTAATTTATAGAGGTTTCATATGTAAAATACAATCTGCGTGAATTCATTCATCTTTTTGAATAGCCAGATAACATTGAACATGTATCTGGTTCTTCTTGGAGTTCTAATTTCACAACTTAAGTGGACACAATTCAAGATACACAATTTAAGTTTTCAAGATTGAGATTTAAGCAGATAAATAAGAAAATTATTAAAAAAAAAAAAAAAGACTGAAAAGACGCACAAGAACAAGAGAAGACAAAAGACTGTTTGTGTCTTTGGGAGAAGTAAACACTTAGATAAGTGTCACAGCCTCTACAAAGTTTATAAATGTGTAAACTCTACAATAGTTGAACTTTCCTAATACTGGAACTTCAAGTCTTACTCTTGTGATAATGTTGCTCTCGAGATTGTAGTAATAGATGAAGAAAATATCTCTTGTATAGTCTGGGAACAACACAATTTCACCACTAGAAACCATTCCAGCAAGGCGTAAATCATGTCTCGTTTCATTCAGCCATTGATGGGGCATTTGGTAGATATGCTTTAACCATTTATGTTCCTCCGCATCCTCTAAAACCCACAACTCAAAAACATTATTGTTAATATCAAAACTACAAGCACCTAATTTACCCTTGTAGTCGATCAAAGTGGAACTCACGGGATATACCATCTTTAGTGCCATGTAATTATCAATATTAATAAAGCTGAATTTCTCAGACCTAACATCAAAGCAAACTACAGTATATTTTCCGTTGTTGAACCCTGCTGGATAATACAAAACACCATTGATCCATATACCATTTCCTTCTAGAGGATAATGAAGTGTGCAACATTGGATCTTTCGCCATGAAAGATTTCCAGTCCCTAATGCCAGAACTTGATACTCCCCACACGACTCGCGTTCGCCGCAACGCAACCAGGTAATCCGCAATACCTTAAACTGTTTGTCGATTGGATCATACCCAAAATAATATCTTACTTTTCCGTTATTCCTCTCTGAGTTACATCCTACCATTCTCAGTTTGGGTAGGGTTAAAGACTCTCCTGTGATGGGATTAGTAATCACTGCAAATGTGTAATTTCCTTCAGCATGCTGACGACAGACCAGTCCACGGACATGGCCACTAAATTTAGAGAAATTTGTACTAGAAGTCCTCCGACGAAGGGTGGCTACAAGAGACGAGTTCATATTCGGATTGTGAGGTTGAGGTGAAGAATTGAATAACAACTCTTCTGCAACTTTGTAGACGAAAAGAAGCTGCGGTGGAGCCAAATCCATGGACTTGATCGGGAACAATTGGTTGTAATTTGGACGGCGAATTATGGATGACCAAAGCTTTGATACACAACGACACCTTACTATAAATTTTTGAGACAACCTTGACAAGATATTGATGACGAGATCAACGGGAATTGGATCAAAGCGTTCTACTTCTCTTCCACAGCTTGAAGATCGTTTATTGGGTCTGGACACGGTTAGGTTATTCTTGGTGACTTGCTGGTCAAGTTTACTCGTCATCATGATAGATGAAGCCCTAGAAAAAAAAATAGAGAAACTGTCCGCTTCTTCTTTTCTTTTGGGTCCTTAAATAGGGGAAGATAACATGAACGCAAATTGTAAATCATGGAATTAGGAAAGTAGTTGGGCTTTAATAGGGCCCGAAATCTACTCAATAAATATAAGCCCATAATTGTAGGCCCATTCCTACAATTAATTATATAATTTAGCGTCTACATTCAGATTCTCGCAATAGAGTGATGCTCTAGTTTTCATAGCATCTCCATTCAGATCCTCGCAATTTAATGATAAATTCATGTGAAAAAACGTCCATAGGATTTCTTACATAGTTAGATTAAACTAATGCTAATTTCAAAACATGTTTGTTTAAACATTCTCTTTATTTACCAATTCATATATTTGAGCTTTGACACGCAGTGCCGGCTTAACTAGGAGGGCAGAGAGTGCAGCCACCAGGGGCCCACAAAATAAGGGGGCCCACAAATTTTTTTGTTTGTTTGTTAGCATAGCAGAAAAAAAGTAAATCTTCGTAGGAAAAAAAAATTTAATTAAAAAGGGTCCATAAAATTTCTGAATTTCTTTCTAAACGTAACATTTTTTTTTTTTAATTGGGCCAAAATGTTGATTTACTTTAGCCCAACAATTAATTGATTTATTGGGCCAAATTTTGTTTACTTAAGAGCAATGGTTTACACCAATAAACGATTAATGTTCTCACAAAACTTTTCACCTTCTCAGTTCTCACAACGTCTCTTTGACGTGATTGAATCTCTTTTCTAGCAAGTGTTCACGGATCAAGACTCAAGAGACAACAATGAATGATTTCGTTTTGGATCTTATACAATAGTCAATTCAGTTCAAGTTCTCTGGCTCTGTTTATGTAAGTTTTCAATTTTCGGTTTTTATTGTATTTTTGCTCTGTTTGAACTCATGTTCTGCTTGAATTTTGCTCTGCTTTTTCTAAACTTGTGTTTCCTAAAACTGGAACTCACTTCACTAGTCACTAACAACTGGTCACTGAATATCTTTCAGGTTTACATTGTTCTTTTGGCATTCAAAAAATCAGATTCATTCTTCAAAATCAAGGTGCTATTCTTCTTTGCTTTGCATTTAGATTGCATCATGACGGGACAAAAGCCTGGATGTCAGAAAAGAAAAAAAAGAAAACAAGATGAATTGTTTGTTCAATCACTAAGAGGCTCTTTAGATAAATTTGTGACAAGAGCAAGTCCAAATGAAAATTCAGTATCTACTGGTATAAATAATGTTTCTCAATCAAATAATCATTTTGATGATGACGTTAGTCACTTGAGTGAGCATGATAATGTGGTTAATGCATCTAATGTTGAAAATTTGAATGTTTGTGAAAACCCAAGTTCTCTTGTTGATAAGTTTGATCCTAAGTATTGGGAAAACCTTGATAATAAAATGAGAGATGTGTTGGTTGAAAAAGGGCCTCAAAGAGAAATGAATGCTTCAAACGACTTTACCTGATGTGTCTATGGAACCTAATGCAATTCTTGAGTTTGTTGAAGATATTGGTTGTTATCCAAATGTTTCAATTGCATATCGAATCATGTTAACTATACCGGTGACAGTGGCTTCGGCGGAGAGAAGCTTTTCTAAATTAAAGTTGTTGAAAAATTATCTAAGATCTTCGATGTCTCAAGAAAGGTTGAATGGTTTAGCTATTTTGTGCATCGAAAAGAATATATTGGAGAGCATTGATTCTGAAACTATTATTCATGATTTTGCGTCGACTAAAGCTCGAAAAAATCGTATCGAGTGATCGTTTATATCTTTTGGGAATGACTACTGGTTATTGTTTTATTTTCAGGTTCAAAAGGATGTAAAGGTCTATATTCATGGAGATGGAAAAGCTACAAAAATCTTACAAGACGTCAAGGCTAACAAGAAACAGAGGAGAGCACAAAGTTTACATTTGTTGCTTTGTCTATGTGAACGTTGTTTTTTTGTTTTTTATTTGTGTAAACGCTTTTTTTTTTTATATAATAGGACTCTGTTTTTGTTTTTGTCAATTTGCCCCGGGGTCTATCAAAAGCTCAAGCCGGCACTGTTGACATGATCACATTATTTTTTCTACCATTGTCAAAAAAGAAGAGAATGCCACTTAGTCCATACCCACTGAAATATCTATGACACAAAGGCGTGCTCAACAAAGCAAGCATGAAACCAGTATTAATATGGTTTGTGTACGGTCTGGCCTCTTGGCTGCCAACCAGCTGATATGCTTACCTCCCTCGGGGGTCAGCTGGTGTCCTCTTGGCCCTTGGATTTGTTGGAATCTGTGGAAGACCAGGAATCAAAAGGTGTTCAGTAATCGTTTCTTTTCGGCGCAGGAGACATGCCTTAAGGCGATTGTTGATGCTAAAGAGTGGAGTCATGCTCAGCAAAAGACTTTCGGGGATCCTCCTCTTTCAGCCCCAGCGCCTACTAGGGTTTGCCATCCTCTGGTTTGGCATGGTGTGTCCTGCAGGTCTGATGCTGCTTGGCGGGCTGATTTAAAAGTGGCAGGGCTTGGATGGGTTTCTTCTTCCACGGAGGCTGGTACCACCTCTTCCGTCTCTCACTCTGCAATTTGTGAGAATGTTTCTTCACCTCTTATGGCCGAATGCTTGGCCGGTAGAGCTGCAATTCTGGAGGCAGTCAGTTCAGGAGTGGATCACTTCCCGTTGGAGTCTGATTGTCAACAACTGGTCGGAGCAATCAACTCTCGATCCGTTATTTTGGAAATTCATGGCGTATTGGCGGATATCTTTATTAGTATAAGCTCGTTCTCTAGTTTCCTTTGTCGGTTTATTCCTCGGTCATCTAATGTTGTGGCCGATACCTTAGCTAAGCATTGTCTCAGTTTTTATGGTCAGAACATTGGTTGAGCTTTTATAATATATTTGGTGCACAAAAAAAAAAGCAAGCATGAAAAAAAAAAAACCAATCGTCAAAGTTATGCTTCATATAAAGATTCATTAAAAACAATCTTTTCTTTCATAGAAGCATCTATCCATTGGAGATTTACAAAACTTTAAGCCCATAATCAACAGTTATGTTTTTAAGATCGAGAATGCTACATAAATAACTCAGACATCGGAACTTAACAACATTGTTTGGTCAGTGAATCAAACAAAACAATAAAAAGAATACTTACTATTAAGAAATCTGTTTACGGACAAAAAATTCTAAAGAAATGACGAATAACATTTAGGGCAGGATCTCTGATTTAAGACATGACAAAATAAACATGTAGAAAATCATAAAAAGGGAGAGACTGCTCCACTACATTGTATATAAATCTTGGCCGGGTGAAATTGGGAACTAACATGAAGATGCAAGAATCCATTTGGATCGGCCGTATCACAAACAAAACCATAACTATAGGAAAAGGAAAAAACGATAAAACAGTTTGGTTCTTGATCAAAGAAATGTGAGATCTTTTCTTCCGATTTGCAATAAAGAAGATTCTTTGCAAGAGGAAACAAAGAAAAGATCAATGGGTTTCGATTTATGCCCGCAACGGAACAAGAACAGCATTGGATCTCGCTGCTCTGATCTCTCAAAGGCACTTGGATTTAACCCTAATTGCGGCGATGTTTATTTATAAGCGCTTGATGAAGAAGACCTTCAGTATTTCGAATTGTCAAATTTACCCTTTGACCTATTTTTAGCCTATCTTTGTATTCTGTGAAAGGACCCAAGACTCTGGAAAATTTCCAAAATGTACCTCTAATGTTTTTAATTGTCTATTTAGTCCTCATGTTCTTATAGTAGTTGAGACAATCCAAGAAGGTAAACCAAGGCAAGGGGCATCTGTTTCAAAACACACTCTTATTAAGATTTGATGAAAATGATACAAAGATTACAGGAAAATCACACACACCAATTATTTCACTACAATCACACATTTTTTGGTCTTAAACATTCACCTTTAACCGGAGATATCAATGGACTTAACCTCAGGCTTCTTCTCTGGCACTTTAGGCACGGTAACCGACAACACACCATTCTCCATACTGGCCTTGATTTCTTCCATCTTCGCATTCTCCGGTAGCTTAAACCTCCTCATGAACTTCCCACTAGACCGCTCCACACGGTGCCACTTGTCATTCTTCTCTTCATTCTCATTGCTCCTCTCTCCGCTTATCTGAAGGATGTTGCCATCTTCAACCTCCACCTTCACCTCTTCTTTCTTTAGCCCCGGTAAGTCCGCCTTGAACACGTGCGCCTCAGGTGTCTCCTTCCAATCAACTTTGGCGTTAGTGAACGCTGCCACATCCTTAGCCGGTGCGTTTGCCAATCCTGACGGCGTCAAGAATCCTTCGAATGGATCCCATACGTCTAGAGAGAATGGATCGAAAACGTTCGTTCTTCTTCCTCCGAAGATGCTTGGAATTAGAGACATCGTTTCACTTCCTCTTGTGGTTACTATTTGCGTTTGCTCTGTTTCAAAGTTTTGCTTTGCTATGAACTCTTTGCTCTTTGTTGATTCAAACGCCTATGAGTCCTCACATATTTATAGGGAGAGAGTATGGAAAAGATGAGAGAGTTCTGCAAGTTTCTTGAAATATCATTTTGATCAATGGTGTTTTCTTGAAAAATCAGGGATCTTACGACTTTACCAGACTTCTCAAGTGCTTTCAAGAAGTTTCTGGTGTTGAGGTTGAGACGACGTGCAATGCATCAGGTCTGCGAGTGAACGCCTTGCCGTTTTTGTTTTTTTGGGCTACAAGGCCCATTAATGATTTCGGCTATATGGTTGACTCTTTTTTTTTTTTTTTTAATGTTGTTGTTGTTGTTGTGAACATTGAACAATTGGCTTCGGCCCCCAAATGAATCAAAACATCTAAAACTTTGTATCAAGGACACAATTATAATCCGATAACGCACCAGCTTTTTCGATCTAACACTATGATACTTAACATTTATATATTGTAGTTTTAGGTATTAGAAACAATGTCAGGACCATGGCTTTCCTCTATCAGTGCCGAAAAGGAGACTAGACGGAATCCTTATCCCACTTTCATGATCTTATCGAAATTTGAATGATACATTACTCGCATGAGTATGAGTTACAGTGCAACAAAATCGCTGGAGTAATCTCTTAACGCATCTTTATGCTGACGAAGCCGATACCGCTGAGAGACAACCTGATTACCTGAATGTGTATGTATCTGATCGTCATCTCAATGACCCAAAGTATTCTGGTGGCCAGACCTAGAGAAGCAAACAGATGGTTAAGGAGGAGATTATTGTCACTGTTTCACAGCTAGAAATTTGAAGAAAAGACTATCAGATTAGAAAGAGTTACCCGAAGAAGAGCTTTTCCTTCAATGAGACTGTAAGGTATAGGTCCAAAATGACGTGAATCCGTTGAAGCATATAAGTTATCTCCCTGAATCCAAACATGACCTTTTGGAACCTATTACAAAATTAAACACAGAACCCTTTCATCATACAAGCTTTGGTGTTAAAAACAGAATTAAACAGCAGAAAGCCTAGATGTTATAACTACTCTGAAATCGACTTTAATCGAAACCAATAACTAGCAATCATTCCCATTCTAGAGCATCCCAAATCATCAATCATACACAGATCAACCCTAAACCCTAGAAAATTGCAACATGCATCTTTTTACCAAAAACCCTTAATGCGATAACTACTCTGGAATCGACTTTAACAGAAACCAGTAACTAGCAATGCTTACCATCTAGACCATGACCATTCCAAATCATCAATGATACACAGAGAAACCCTGAAAGCTAAATTTGTATATTCAATCTTCTTTTACCTTAAACCTTAAATGCTATAACTACTCAAAAATCGGCTTTAATCGAAGCAATAACCAGCAATGCTTCACACTCTAGACCATCCCAAATTATCAATCATACACAGACACCCTAAACCTAGAAATTTGCAAATTCCATCTTCTTTTTTACCTTAAACCCTTAATGCTATGGCTACCACGAAATCGGCTTTAATCGAAACCAGTAAGCAACAATAATTCACATTCTAGACAATCCCAAATCATCAGTTATACACAGATAAACCCTAAACCCTAGAAAATTAGCACATTCTATCTCATAAAACTATAAACCCTAGAGCTACTCTGAAATCGACTTTAATCGAAACCAGTTTCTAGCAATGCCTCACCTTCTAAACCATCCCAAATCATCAATCACACACAGATAAACCCCTAAACCGTAGAAATTTGCAAATTCCATCATTTTTAACCAAATGCAACAAAAGATTGAATTTTTAGTAGAGAGATTGCTCAATGTTCATACCAAAACGCTGACCGAGGCATCACCGACCAATGGGTCAGCAGAGAAAGTGAGTCTATCGCCTTCTAAACCCAAGATTCGCTTTGTCACCATCCTCTTTGGGTCTCTAGGAGATCGAACCAATACAACGTCACCGAGCCCAATCTTACCAAACCGATGTGATAAATGTTCCGCCAAAATTACATCGCCGGTTAGATTAAGCGTCGGAAGCATGCTCGGTCCGTGAACCTGAAACCCCAAATATAAAGGAATCAGTTTTCTTGGAGAATACGAAAGAGAAATAGATTCAATTTCGTTTAGGTTACAAACAATTACAGACGTGAGTCGTGGAGATTATGTAACGATCAGTGACATGAAGCAAACAGAGAAACTTGGCGACGATTGATACATTCTCGAACGCTTCTTTCGCTGTTCCACGCCATTGCTTCAGAAAACTCAACAATCTCATACTCATCTCTCTCTCGGAGAAGCGAATCTCGTCAGAAGTAGCAGAAAAAGGCCGAAGACGACGAAGGTAGCGAACCTAGTCGACTCTAGACTCAAAACGACACGCAGTTGGTTATTCAAAATTCTAAACGACACCAAATTTTGACCTTTTAATGTGTTTTTTACTTACTAATGATAAAACTACCTGTAGTTGAGCCGCGTAAACTGAAAACGACATGTTTTCTTCATTAATTACAACGAAAGTGAATTTGTGATGATGATTTGTTTAATTTACAGAGCCTAGTGGCTCTTCTTGTTCTAAAGTTCGAACACTTAGGATTTATCGCCGGAGTTTTTGAACATGGACGGGATTATTGCAGCTGTTCCATTTGCAATGTGTGTCTCTCTACGCAGTTCTTGTCGGAATCGGGATAATGCTGAATCCATATATCATTTTCCCGGCAAATCCTCGAATCGAGTTTCAGTACTTCAAACTGGGAACAACGTTTCTTCTCAAAGATGCAATTCGTTGCTTAAAAAGCGACATTGCAGTGAAATTTCCCGTGTGATCGTAAAATCCGCCGCTTCTTCAGGTAAAGGTTGGACCTTTATTGTTGTTGTTTCAGAAAAAACTAAATTTGATTTGCAAATTTTAGCTGATTTTGCTTTGGAGATTGCAATTGAAACAAACAAGATCTTTGTGCTTCTTTCTTGTAGAGCTTGAAGAAACAGTGTTAGAGTTAGCAAGGAATAGTTTTAGAAATGAATTGTAATGCATTTGAGTTTTAACCCAATTTTAGTTTGGTCTGTGACTTGTATAGTTGGAAATGTAGACGAGTACGCTGAAGAAACGGCTACAAGTGTAAAGTTTCAGAGATCAGTGACATTACCTGGTTGTTCTAGCCCGTTGTCTTTGCTTGGCACTGGTTAGTTTTGACTATATCTGCACTCTTTAGCTTCGAAAATGTTACTTTGTGCAACGGTTTTATACATCAATGTGGGATCTTGTGTAGATGAAATGCTTATAAACTTGCTATGAAACTTCCTTCAATGAATCTATCTGTGAAAATGCATCAAAAAATTTCAGGGTTTAGGGAGAAAAAGTTTGCTATCATCGGTGTCAAAGTCTATGCTGCGGGTTATTATGTGAATGAATCTATCTTGAGCGGGTTAAGTGCTTGGAAAGGGCGGTCTGCTGATGAGATCCAGAGAGATTCATCACTGTTTAGTTCCATTTTTCAAGGTAATGAATTGCTAAAGATGATAGCTTTCTTTATCCACATTTGATCTCTCACTTTCTCTCCTGAGTCTTTTTTCCTGCTCGTCGATGCAGCTCAAGCAGAGAAATCGTTGCAGATTGTTCTTGTCAGAGATGTTGATGGTAAAACCTTCTGGGATGCATTGGATGAAGCCATTTCCCCAAGAATCAAATCTCCATCTTCTGATGATACAACCGCTCTCTCTACATTCCGCGGGATCTTCCAAAACAGACCTCTCAACAAAGGAAGTGTCATACTCTTGACTTGGATCAACACTTCTAAAATGCTTGTAAGCACATTTTTTCAGCCTTTGGCTACTTGAATTGTTACACAGGATCTTTTATTGTTGCTTGCTTATTATATTTGTCGGTTCTTTTGTTAGGTTTCTATTTCTTCGGAAGGATTGCCAACGGATGTGGATGCAACAATCGAGTCAGGTAATGTTACATCTGCTCTGTTCGATGTGTTCTTTGGGGATTCTCCAGTTTCTCCTACATTGAAATCCTCAGTAGCTAACCAATTAGCTATGACCCTTGTGTAAAAGTAAAGACCATGTTGTAATGTATATATCATGAATCTTCAATTTGTTAAGTAATCTCTGTTTATGTTATCTTCTTAAATCTTATCCAGGTAAAGTTAGCCAACATGAACCAATTTAATACTCAGAAATCTCATGTGAAACTTTATTTATTAACAATTTGTTTTTAAGATGGAATGTGGTGAATATTAACATGGTATCAAAGCAAACTAAACTAAAATGGATCTTGATCCTAAAAAGATATTACATGTAGTTCAAAATAGTGAGTCAAACAGCCAATTAAAATGGAAGTTAGGTAAGAAGTAAAATTGAAATAAAAAAATGATTGTGGAAGACAAGAGAAGATGAATGAAATTATGTTGTTTGGGCGTTGAGCAAGTGAGTCCTTTTCTTGGTGTGCCCTTTACCACATGCAACTTCTTCTCTCACTGGACCACAATCACACATTATAATTTATAAGTTATAACGATACATTGTCTTTTTCATCAATATTTTTCTATCTTTTGCACTAATAATATAGAGTTGTGCAGAAATTATAATTATTTATGGGGATCCTTTTTAATTTTTTCCATCATTATATGTGGTTCATATATTTTTAATAATACCTCAGGAATAGCTCTATTGAGCATTAATAATTTAAGCTGTTGATAAAATTTTTTTTTTTAATAATATGTAACTCAAATAAATGAACAAACAAAATAAATCTGCTTGGTAGAGATATTTTGGCTCCTCCAGTCAAAACTCTAAAATATACATACACAAATAGCATGATTCATGTGGTGAATTGTAATATTATGTCCCCTCTGTTGAATTCTGACTCATGATATTTCTTTTTCATATCTAAAATATTATTAAAAATTGTATTATTAAAAAAATCATTTAAATAAATATTTGCTGGTTATATATCTTCATATTAATCCCCTATTATATGTTTATGCAAAGCCGGGTCGAAATAGATAGAACCCCTGTTCTAAAAATCGGCCGTCTAGCCGCTGATTAGGCGTTGATCGGGTGAAGATCGCGGCGATTTTGTCCAAATCGGTAAAAAAAATCGGTGATCCGATTTTTGTCCGCCTAGACGGCGCCTAGCCCTATTTTTTTTATTTTTTTTTTTACATTTTTTTCTTTCTTTTTTTGGATCTAAAATTCAAAACGTCCCACTTATATTCATAATTTGTATAAAAATCATAAGTTTGACCTTAAATTCTTGTTTTCATGTGTTTAATGTAATTTAAAAAACAAGATTATATAAATTTCTTATTTATAATGGATTAATATGTTTTTAAAATATTAAATAGCCTTAAACCTAGTCCCCGATTAATTCCCATTTTATCTCCGATTTTCTTGCTAGATGCTAGGCCCACCCTCACTGTCCGACTAGGACTAGCGATTTTTTAAACAGGGGATAGAACCAACATTTATATTAATCTTTGGCCGATCCTATTTATGACACAATTATCTTAAAAATGCTCCACTTGGTCAAAGATAGTAAAATTATGATTTTTAAAACCGAAAGTAGAAGAAAATTAATAATAATGAAATATGCAAAAAAGATCAACTTTAGGTTTAAGGGAATATTACAAAATCTACCACATTTCAACAAGTGGCATTCAAAATCTACCACAATCTCAAAAAACTTTCAAAATCTACCATATTCCAATAGCACATGTGGAATGCTGGACCAAAATACCCCTGATTGGGACAGAGTGTGTGTCAGAGACAGACTTGGGACAGAGTCTGTGTCAGAGACAAGACAGTTTCGTTTGGTGCTTCCAAAAAAGGAGCAGGTCTGCAATAAATATTGCACAGTTATTTAAATAATATATTATATCAGAGACAAATTCAGATTGAATGGGTGATATAATTAGATCATGGACAAATTCAGATTGAATGGGTGATATAATTAGTTCGAGGACAAGTTCAGATCGAATGAGTAATAAAATTAGATCGGGGACAAGTTCATATCGAATGAATAATAGAATTAGTTCGGGGACAAGTTCATTTCGAATGAGTACAAGTTCAGATCGAATGGGTAATAGAATTAGATCGGGGACAAGTTCATATCGAATGAGTAATAGAATTAGATCACGCTCAAGATTGAATGGGTAATAGAATTAGATCGGGGACAAGTTCATATCGAATGAGTAATAGAATTAGATCGGGGACAAGTTCATATCGAATGAGTAATATAATTAGATCGGAAACAAGTTCAGATAGAATGAGTAATAGAATTAGATCGGGGACAAGTCAAAACGAATGAGTAATATAATTAGATCAAAAATTGAGCGTGATGATGTTTATCATCCAATTCTCTTGACTGTCCATCGTCAGATGGTGTAGTTTTGTCCGCCAGATATCTGGATTTACTCGGGGACAACTGGATTTTTTTTGTTATTTTGCAATAGAAGAAAAAAAAATTCAATAATCTGGGTAGGTGAAGACAATAATGCTCAACTAATGAGAACAAATCTAAATAAAATTCGAAACCCTTAAATGAGAACAATTAATGGACAAGATGTGGGATTCATGATAATAGAGCAAGATGATAAAATCGGGGACAAGATCTAGACGCAACATAGAATTTCCAATCGGGGATAAGATCTGGAGACAAAAACGAAAGCGTTTATTATGAGACAAGATCTGAAGAAGAAAGAGAAAGGGAAAGTGAGAGAGACGAAAGTGTCCGCCAGAGATCTGGATTTACTCGGGGACAACTGGATTTTTTTGTTATTCTGCAAATAGAAGGAAAAAAAATTCAATAATCCGGGTAGGTGAAGACAATAATGCTCAACTAATCTATGGACCAAAATAGATGGTGAAAAATCTAAATAAAATTCGAAATCCTTAAATGAGAACAATTGGTGGACAAGATGTGAGATTCATGATAATAGAGCAAGATGATGAAATCGGGGACAAGATCTAGACGCAACAGAGAATTTCCAGTTGGGGACAAGATCTGGAGACAAAAACGAAAGCGTTTATTATGAGACAAGATCTGAAGAAGAGAGAGACAGGGAAAGGGAAAGTGAGAGAGACGAAAACTTTTCGTTTTCTATCAAGGGAATAATAATGTGGGGTTAAAGCGCACAGATTTCAAGAGAGGAGAGATTAGTAGGGAAGGAAAAAAATGCATGTTGTCAAGTCGTGAAAACTGCCATCAACTGTGAGGGCAAAATTGTCAATTTACAAAAAATGTGGTATGAGTTGAAAGATGGAGAAGAATGTGGTAGATTTTGAAAGAAATTGAAAAAATGTGGTAGATTTTGTAGTTTTTCCTAGGTTTAACGCCTTAAAATATTATCATAGTGTGAAATTATGATATTTTGTACTTTAGGTAATGGACCAACTTTAGATTTGAATGCCTCATATACAACAATAAGATGTTGGATTTGTTTTCCATATAAAATCAAGATCAGATATAATATTTAACATAATCTTCACCTTTTAATGGATTTGCACCTCTTGTGATAAACTTTTAATGTGAGCCAGACACTAATTGTTGGTCTTTTCAATAAATACAAACGCCAAATTGTGTAAATTGACATGTGAAAATCAATATACTTTTCGTTTCACATGAAATTGCAAAATTATTAATCTATTTATTTCATTTTTCTAACAAACAAAAAACTTACCAATCAGGATTGCAATATTTTTTTTCTTTTTCTTTTGTTTTTTATCATCCCAAAAAAAAAAATTTTTTTGACTAAAACATAAGCGACAGATAATCAAATAAATATCAAGCAAACAACTTGACACTCTTTTTCTCAATGTTAGTTAAAAGATGGTATTTATATCCTAATATATAAATTGTGTATCGTCTTTACCAAATTAAATTAAAATCTGAGACCAATATCTTCTACCAATATCTATTTACTTAAGAAAATTAGTCAATTGGATATATATCTTCAAAAAAATCACTCGACGAAAATATTATTCAATTTTGACCAAAAAAAAAAATTATTCAATTTAAGAAAAAAATCGAGGAAATTATTTGTTTTATAAATGTTTATCATAAGCAAATTGTGATAATGTTAAATATATTCCTTTCAGTTGTACGAGAAAAAACAATCACGTGGGGGTTCAATTGACCACTTGATAAAAGAGTGGCTAGAATTATAATTAAAAATTAAGATAGGGGTCAAAATCGGAATTAGAGAAAAATAAAACGGTCCAAGTCCAGCAACAGGTGTCTTAACCAATGGGTCATTTTTCAAAAAAGGTCGTCAACAGTGGGAGAAAAACAATAATTACTTTACCCTCAAAGTTATCTAAAATAACGAAACTGCCACTATCTGGGATTTGTCACACCCGTACGCAATAAGTACCACGAGAAATTGCTAGAATTAGAAATTATTTTTATTCAAATTTAGAAAAAATATCTCAAATTCGGTATTTTTAAAATCCTCTCTCGTCTTCTTCTTCTTCTTCGATCGCTGGATCTAGGTTTTGTTCTTCTCTCTATCACTCTATCGTCTCCTTCACAGACTGGGCTTGATTAGAGTTCTTCCTTCTGGGATTCTTAGCAATCTAGGGCTTTTTTTTTTCCTTTTGAAAACCCGATCCAGATTTTGTTATTTGAGATTAAATTTTTTTGAAGAAGATGCAACAAAATCAAGTGAAGAAGGTTAGTCTCTTGCTCTCTCTCAATCATGGTTTGGTTCTAAATGTGTGAAATAGAAGATAAAGTCTTTTCCTTTTTCAAAATTTTAAAAAAAAAGCTTTCCTTTTTCAATTGCAATCAGGTTTTGTTGCATGAGCATAAACAAGATGGATTTTTTCTTATTTTTGTTGATGTGTGGATAAAGTTTGTGTTTTATTTACTTTTGTGATTCACCAGGGGACGAAAGAGATGGAGTTTTTCACAGAGTATGGTGATGCTAACAGATATCGGATTCTGGAAGTTATTGGTAAAGGAAGCTATGGAGTTGTTTGTGCAGCTATTGATACACATACTGGAGAGAAAGTTGCTATTAAAAAGATTAATGATGTCTTTGAACATATCTCTGATGCGCTTCGTATTCTCCGTGAAGTGAAGCTTCTTCGGCTTTTACGGCATCCAGATATTGTGGAAATCAAAAGCATTATGCTGCCTCCTTCCAAGAGAGAGTTTAAAGACATTTATGTTGTGTTTGAGCTCATGGAATCAGATCTTCATCAAGTTATTAAAGCTAATGATGATTTGACTCGTGAACACCACCAGTTTTTCCTTTATCAGATGCTTCGAGCTTTAAAGTTCATGCATACAGGTGTGATTTGTTTCATTGTTATTGGGACATGATTTTTTATTTCTCAGGTTGTGTAACTAATTGTATTTTTTTTCGGGGCTTTGTAGCTAATGTTTATCATCGTGATCTTAAGCCAAAGAATATACTGGCTAATGCAAATTGCAAGTTGAAAGTTTGTGACTTTGGATTGGCTAGAGTAGCGTTTAATGATACTCCTACAACAGTCTTTTGGACGGTTAGTAGCTTCGCGGAGGAGACCTTTTGTTTTTTAGCCGTTATATTATGTTATTCGTTATTGTCTGATTTTGTTGTGTGGTTGGTTAATTTTGTGTGTTTGATTTAATCGCCGATGCAGGACTATGTTGCCACAAGATGGTATAGAGCACCTGAGCTCTGTGGATCATTCTTTTCGAAGGTAGGTGTCACTGTGGATTTCTTCTATGCACTCTAGTTGGCTATGCTTTAGGTATTATGTACAGATTAGTCTTTAGTGTAGAATATCTGCAGATTAGTGTTAAAGTATAGCTGATATTTGATGTTACTTGTATAAGTATAGAGTTGTGCCCCAGTGGGATATTAAAATAATTCTTGTTCAGGGATGACTTTGAACTCTCCCCGAAGTTGAAAATCTATGAATCAGGTAACCTTGTATCAGGTTATGTTCATTGAGTGGTTTCTTTTGCATCTGCAACTTTATATTTGTGGTTTTGTTTTTTCATCATAGTCTGATTTACAGTTAATGTTATTTTGCAGTACACTCCAGCTATCGACATTTGGAGCATTGGCTGCATCTTTGCGGAGGTACTAACAGGGAAGCCATTGTTTCCGGGAAAAAGTGTCGTCCATCAGTTGGAGTTGATTACTGATCTTCTTGGCACACCAAAATCAGAAACAATATCTGGAGTATGATACCTTTTTTCTGCTTCACATTAATTTCTGGAGTACATATATATTGAACTGTATAGCCAAACATCTATTTCTCTGATGTAGGTTCGAAATGATAAAGCTAGAAAATACTTGACCGAAATGAGGAAGAAAAATCCTGTCACCTTCTCGCAAAAATTCTCCAAAGCAGATCCATTAGCACTCCGTCTTTTGCAGAGGCTGTTGGCTTTCGATCCAAAGGATCGACCGACTCCTGCAGAGGTCTCTATTCTGTCATTTTCACTTTGTAATTAGATTCTTGTTCGGTTCTCTTTGAAAAGCTTCCTTGCTTCTTGTGTGTATCTCTGATTACTTTGCTATCTTTTCGATAGGCATTGGCTGATCCTTACTTCAAGGGTCTTTCTAAGGTTGAAAGAGAACCTTCAAGTCAGCCAATCTCGAAGATGGAGTTTGAATTTGAGAGACGAAGGTTGACAAAGGACGACATTAGAGAACTAATATACAGAGAAATCCTGGAATACCATCCTCAGTTGCTCAAGGATTATTTGAGCGGATCTGAGGGGTCTAATTTTGTATATCCTAGGTCTGAATTTCTTCCTACCTTTGGGCTTTGACTATTATTCACCAAATGAAACGTTCTTTATTTCTTTCTCCCTTTGAATTTATGCCCAATCGCGTACTTTTGGCTGGCTTTTCATCCATGTTTTGACTTTTTTACTTGCAGCGCCATTGGACATCTTAGACAGCAGTTCACTTACTTAGAGGAAAATAGCAGCAGAAATGGGCCGGTCATACCTCTCGAGAGGAAACATGCATCGCTTCCGCGGTATGTTTTCTCATTCTTTCTGTACAAGTCAACTGTGGGGAATATGCTTTTCTTTTGTTCTTTCTTCTGTTACTGCATGGCATTTGTGAAGCATATGGTTGAAGGCCTCAAGCAAACTTTCATCTTTTCTCTACTCTTCTAATAGATATGATTGTTTTCCACAGGTCTACGGTTCACTCAACTGTAGTCCATTCCACCACACAACCCAACTTGAGTGCAACAGATAGTAGACGTGTTACTTTCGAGCCTTCAAAAAATGGAGTTCCTTCTGCAGGACATCCATCAACTTCCGCGTATCCTACTAAATCTATCGGACCTCCACCAAGGGTTCCACCATCAGGTCTCAGTCATATCACCAAATATTATTTCCTAAAGTTAGAAACTTTACCTAACTTTCACCACATGTTTTTACAGGTAGACCAGGTCGAGTTTTGGAATCATCTGTATCCTATGAGAATGGCAGGAACCTCAAAGAAGCTTATTTCAGAAGCGCAGTTTCATCTCCTCATTGCTACTTCCGAGCATACACCATGACGAACCCAGAGAATCGCAATGTAGAAGCTTCTTGTTTTCCGCCAAAACCACAAAATCCTGTCCACCAATTCGTTCCCACCGAGCCGCCAGCTGCTACAACTAACCAAACAGACGTTGAGACTATGAGCCACCCAAACCCTTACTTTCAACCACGGCTCCCCAATATAGATCAACTAAACAACAACAACACACATATGGCCATCGATGCTAAGCTATTACAGGCACAATCACAGTTTGGTCCAGCTGGAGCTGCAGCGGTTGCAGTAGCAGCACACCGGAACATAGGCACAATTAGTTACGGCACAGCATCATAGACAACACTTCAGACAAGTCTTTAACCTCGACATCTTCCTCCAGGTGATTCTGGTCTCTCTCTAGTTTTTATGTAAGTATTATTATTCAGTCTGGCTCTGATTTGAACTTCGTTGCAATGATATGATAAAGACTTTTATTTAGTTGTAACTCTCCAGAACAAGATCGCCTTGGATTAGTCTGATTGCGGGTCAGTCCCGGTTATTGTTTCGGTTATCTTGTTGGCTCCATAATCTTTGAATTTGCCATAAGCGTAGTTCACCGTAGAGAAGAATATCGTGGTGATTATATACTTCTTAAACTTCTTAATCGGTCCCATTAGTCTTTGTTGTTCTTCAACAATGAGGAATCTCTTTTGATTGTTTGAAAATGTGGTGTTGATTGGTTAATATAGACAACATAATGCCGAAGAATGTGGAAGTTGAAAAAAAGACATTGGTCCTTAGATTTTTCATCTCCGTAAGCCACTCTTTCTCAGATCATAATTAGTCAATTTTATTCAATGGTTACAAAATGAAAAAACTTGCCAACGAAAGAAAGGAATGCTCTTGACCTCAAGACTGATCTTCTAATTTTTGACGCCATTAAAATGTTTATAATTTACCCGCCAATTTTATAGGCCGGAACTCATCATATTGGGAGTCCATTAACTAATAATAACGAATATCACTTACTCAATTTAACAAGCATGAAAAAGTAGTGTATATTTGATCTATTTAAATATTTAATATTTATTGACTAAAAAGGAAACAAATCAATTATTTCGTTAGAGCATACACAATGGCATATGTGTAAGTGTGGATGTAAATAATTTTTTATTATTATAATTAAAGAGAGAGAAGAGAGAGATAAAGAGAGTGTAATATTTATCTTTATTTTAATATTCATATCCAAGTGTAAACTTACATCCAACATACAACTTCTACACAATTTTTCTATTTTTTCTCATTTTTATATTACTCACACCCAACCATTGTACCATTGTGTATCGTCGTGAGAGTGACATTAAGCATCTGCATTAAATGATCCGTTAAAAGTAATATTAAATCTCAGGTTGACCTGTAGTTATCTTTTTTTTTTTTTTTTTTTTGTTAAAGGACCTGTAGTTATCTTTTTAATCAAGTAATCAATTTTTAGAACTGACATATGTATCTACGTTACATCATAAATAAACCCAGATGTTTTAAACAAAAAGAACCCAGGGATTTTAATTAATTCCCAAGATATACTTTCTAAATAAGGAAAATCATATTTTGTTCGTCAATGGCTATAATTTGGAAATATTGCAAAATATTTATTTTCTTTCTTTATACATATAGTTTACTTATCAAAACATCATTCTATTTTAATTTATCTGAATATCCTAATTTAGTAGAGAGCCAATAAATAGACTCACATTTATGTTGGAAAAAAAGAGAGAAAAAGACATGAGTTTAATGTCGGACGCTAGACTCACGAGAAATCCGTAATATCTAAGAGAAGAAAGGGTAAATTAGTCAATTGGCTCCTACGGTTCTCCGTAACTGTCTCAGAATATAAGAGGCGCATTGTTGAGAGAAGCTCCGTAGACCGTAGATTCCCTCTTCTTCTTCTTCTTCTTCTTCCTCTCTACTGTTTTTTCTTTTCATATTTCTCTCTCTATTCTTGGTGAAGTTTCCCCCTCTCTCTCTATCTCTAAGTACTCTCTTACGATCTTCTTCTCTCTTGGGTTATCTGATTCTAACCTGAATTGTGTCGGTACGTAAAAATTGTTTCTCTCTCTTTCTGTTTCTATAATTTTGTGAAATGTTATACGTGAGTGACAATATATTTATATGTTTTCTGTTTATGATCCCATATGAAATGTTTTAAGATCTGTTGCTGAATTGGAGATCTGGATCTGATTTCCTTTTCATATGATCCGGTTCTGAATTTTCCTTGTGACGTTTTTTATTTTTTTTTTGCAGATTTCAAAAATGGATGATACTACTACGTATAAGCCAAAGAACATTCTCATTACTGGAGCTGCTGGATTCATTGCTTCTCATGTTGCCAACAGATTAATCCGTAGCTATCCGGATTACAAGATCGTTGTGTTGGACAAGCTTGATTACTGTTCAGATCTGAAGAATCTTGATCCTTCATTTTCTTCACCAAACTTCAAGTTTGTCAAAGGAGATATCGCTAGTGATGATCTCGTTAACTACCTTCTCATTACTGAAAACATTGATACCATAATGCATTTTGCTGCTCAAACTCATGTTGATAACTCTTTTGGTAATAGCTTTGAGTTTACCAAGAACAATATCTATGGTACTCATGTTCTTTTGGAAGCCTGTAAAGTTACAGGACAGATCAGGAGGTTTATCCATGTGAGTACTGATGAAGTCTATGGAGAAACCGATGAGGATGCTGCTGTAGGAAACCATGAAGCTTCTCAGCTGTTACCGACGAATCCTTACTCTGCCACTAAGGCTGGTGCTGAGATGCTTGTGATGGCTTATGGTAGATCATATGGATTGCCAGTTATTACCACCCGCGGGAACAATGTTTATGGGCCTAACCAGTTTCCTGAGAAAATGATTCCTAAGTTCATCTTGTTGGCTATGAGTGGGAAGCCGCTTCCCATCCATGGAGATGGATCTAATGTCCGGAGTTACTTGTACTGTGAAGACGTTGCTGAGGCTTTTGAGGTTGTTCTTCACAAAGGAGAAATCGGTCATGTCTACAATATCGGTACAAAGAGAGAAAGGAGAGTGATCGATGTGGCTAGAGACATCTGCAAACTTTTCGGGAAAGACCCTGAGTCAAGCATTCAGTTTGTTGAGAACCGACCCTTTAATGATCAAAGGTACTTCCTTGATGATCAGAAGCTGAAGAAATTGGGATGGCAAGAGCGAACAACATGGGAAGATGGATTGAAGAAGACAATGGACTGGTACACTCAGAATCCTGAGTGGTGGGGTGATGTTTCTGGAGCTTTGCTTCCTCATCCAAGAATGCTTATGATGCCCGGTGGAAGACTTTCTGATGGATCTAGTGAGAAGAAAGACGCTTCAAGCAACACGGTCCAGACATTTACGGTTGTAACACCTAAGGGTGGTGGTTCTGGTGACAAAGCTTCGTTGAAGTTTTTGATCTATGGTAAGACCGGTTGGCTTGGTGGTCTTCTAGGGAAACTATGTGAGAAGCAAGGGATTACATATGAGTATGGGAAAGGACGTTTGGAGGACAGAGCTTCTCTTGTGGCGGATATTCGTAGCATCAAACCTACTCATGTGTTTAATGCTGCTGGTTTAACTGGCAGACCCAACGTTGACTGGTGTGAATCTCACAAACCAGAGACCATCCGTGTAAATGTCGCTGGTACTTTGACTCTAGCTGATGTTTGCAGAGAGAATGATCTCTTGATGATGAACTTTGCCACCGGTTGCATCTTTGAGTATGATGCTGCACATCCTGAGGGTTCGGGTATAGGTTTCAAGGAAGAAGACAAGCCAAATTTCTTTGGTTCTTTCTACTCGAAAACCAAAGCCATGGTAATATAGTACACCTTATCAACATTCTCAAAAACCATGTGTCTTTGTTCATAATTGCTCTGTTTTTCCACCAGGTTGAGGAGCTCTTGAGAGAATATGACAATGTATGTACCTTGAGAGTCCGGATGCCAATCTCCTCAGACCTAAACAACCCGAGAAACTTCATCACGAAGATCTCACGCTACAACAAAGTGGTGGACATCCCGAACAGCATGACCATACTGGACGAGCTTCTCCCGATCTCCATCGAGATGGCGAAGAGAAACCTAAGAGGGATATGGAACTTCACCAACCCAGGGGTGGTGAGCCACAACGAGATACTGGAGATGTACACGAATTACATCGAGCCAGGCTTTAAATGGTCCAACTTCACATTGGAAGAACAAGCAAAGGTCATTGTTGCTGCTCGAAGCAACAACGAAATGGATGGATCTAAACTAAGCAAGGAGTTCCCAGAGATGCTACCCATCAAAGAGTCACTGATCAAATACGTCTTTGAACCAAACAAGAGAACCTAAGCCTTCAATGAACATCACACTCTTGCCACAAGTGCTTACTTTAAATTGTTTCTTTTACTTTTTTTTTTCTTTTTGCCTTTTCTTTCAACAGAAATATCTTTTTATATTTACTCATCGTCTTATGATCCTTGTAGGTAGTTTCACTATATTGATTCTACTAAAATATGATTTACCATTAATATTTATATAGACGAGAGTTTTTCTTTTTCTCAAATCCTACATTTTCCCTCATATTTTTATTTACTAAGACATACAGCTTATAAAAAAAGAAGAGTCACTTACTGACCATTAGGGCTTCCACCAAGGCAGTTTCAGAAAACTTGAACTTGATTCTGAAGCTATAGCCTGAGAAGAGAAGCAACACGTTTTTTAGAACAAATCCAAGTACCTGATGTGAATTTGGTCTATTTTTAATGGCTATAGTTTGCTTACGTGAACAGTTGAGGGCGGGAACGAGAGAGCTGAGAACGCTTAATAGGGGAGAGAATAAGGTTTCGTAGAGTTGACTGGGGATTAGAAGTGCCACCACCACCATATACAGGATGTCCTCCTCCTGCTCTTCTGTTTCCAAGATCGGATGGAATCGCGGGTGAGTCAGTGGAGATGTCGAATGGACCCGAATTTGAACTGTTCTGTCTTGCTGGCCATATCTCATCTTTAGGTCCTGGTGTTGCAGGAGAGAAAAACGAGCGGTCTGCATCAAATAAGTCAACTTGATTTGGAGATATTTAACCAAAAATAGACTCAGGATCATAAGCACTAAGCTCCAGGCACAGAAATAGTGTAGTTAAATTAACCTTTGCGAATGGGCTCTCTGTTCTCCATCATGTTAACTGCTGGGTTAGAGAAAAAGTCGGGTTCTTGGTGTCGCGGATAGAAGTTGTTTGCTGGTTGGATGGCTGTACGTTTGACTGACTCATACTCACTTCTTAGCTGGTCATACATCTCATCAAGCTTCCTCTTCTGTCTGTTAATTCAAACACAATTAAGGTACCTTCTTATCACAATTGAGTTTAATATAGGGAAGAGAACCAGGAAAAAAAATACGTATCTTAAGTTACTGACCTTGATTTCTCAGAGAACTTCTCTTGGAGCTCTTGCTTATCCTTGGTCAAGTTTTCTACCTCTTGCTCCATCATCTGACACCTCTTGCCCATCTTCTGGTATGCTGTATGCACCTGCTCCATTTTCTCG